CAAGTCTAACTACCTAGGTTTGATCTTGGAACCACCTGTTAAAGGAGAGAATCAACTCCACGTTGTCCTCTGACCTCCTCACACAAATTGCAACAACACATGTGCTCACACACAAATAAGTGAAAAAATTTCAGGTTTTTGTCAGTACTCATCTGCTCTGTGGTGACAGTCTCCATATTATTGCTATTCCGTGCTACCTTTTGCCACGGACTGGCCCATCGGGGGTACCACGACCGAAGGGGGACCAGGGCTTGGGTAGTCAGGAAGGCAAGGATTCGGCGAATGACGGACAGACAACACACTCAGAAGTGGTTTGAATCTGCTGCAGTTTTACTTCTGCAAATCAGTAGTTTATATACAGAAAAGAAAACTGTCAAGTCATACAAGGAACAATGAGAGCTTAGCAATAATTCAATTACATCATCTTTAAAAAAACAGCAAGCACACAATTATTAATCGGCGCTAGACATATCCCTTCACCCACAAGAACTTTATGACCCAAAGAGCAGTCTGTGTTTTTTTTTTTTTTTTTTTTTTGGTTTTTCGAGACAGGGTTTCTCTGTGTAGCTTTGCGCCTTTCCTGGGACTCACTTGGTAGCCCAGGCTGGCCTCGAACTCACAGAGATCCGCCTGGCTCTGCCTCCCGAGTGCTGGGATTAAAGGCGTGCGCCACCACCGCCCGGCACAGTCTGTGTTTTTTAAACTTAGTACAGTTCCTAGACTTGTGAAGGCTTCTTTGCGGTTGCAGCTGTATCCTTCATCTTTATCTCAGCCGCTCTCTAGTTTATTATGCACTTCTACTTTTCTGGTTCTCATGGCCCACTTAGCCAATTTGGATGCTGCAGACCCTCCCTAAGTCTTTCTTCAATTCTTTTATCACATATCTCTTTTAATATAAAACCTTTTTACCTGCTGGAATATGGACTCTTGTACTTTTACTCCTGTAAGGAGAAGGGGTTCTGCTGCAGTCCTTAAGTTTCCCATGCTGAACTTCCTCACGGAGGGGCCCACCATCTGCCTCCTACGAGATAACATCTTCTGCCATAAATCACTTTAGTTGGGATTCCTAAAGGATTCCTAGTGGGTGAGTGTTCATTCTCTAGAAGTGACTGAACCTTTATACTTTCTTTATCTAGCGGCTTGGGGTCTTTAAAAAATAGCTTATTTTGTTATATCTGATTAAGGTCCATGTCCAGCTTCCCCTTTCCTCCATAGTTCACAATCCAAGCATTCATTAATTTTGGCTGTGTTTCATAGATTAATTAGAACATTATCAGAAAAGCAGTTATACAGAACCCATAGCCCAGGGAGCTCATGATCCGTGAAGCACATCTCCTTTGAGAAGGAAGCATAACGCAGGCACTCTGCCAGGGACCTCCAGGGAGCTTAGTCCCGTGGGACACGTATCTCCCGTCCGTTATTATTGACATAATTGTTCATGTCACACGGACGACACTGGAGTTGGTGTGGCAACCTTTATTTCTTAACTTTCATTTTTCAGATAGAATCTTGCTATGTAGCCCAGACTGGCCTTGAACCCTCTGCCTCCTGCCTTTTCTTTCTGCCTGCTAGGGTTTACAGGCTATGTGGACTCTATGTATCTGCTATGTTGTTCTGGAACAGTCTCTGAAGGTCTGTGACAGGAGGTTCAGGACTTTGTTCAGGCCCAGTAGAACTTTTCTTAAGGCCCAGCATTTATGTTTCCTTTGTTTTATAAGTGAAGTATCCCCAAATACAAAACACATGCATGTTTAAGGCACATAAATCAATAATAAAATTCCAATACCTCCCACCCAGCACAAGATGGAGAAGCATCTGTGGCTGGAGCTGGAGCTCAGTGGTTTAAGCATGCTGAGCATGTGAGAGGCCTTAGGTTGAATCCCCGCTGTGAAAATAAACAACTTTGGTGGTGGATGTGGTGGTTCATGCCTATCTAATACTCAGGAGGCCGAGGCAGGAGGACTACCTTTTGAGGTTAGCCTGGGCTACATGTGAGTTCTAGGCCAGCCTAGACTACTGTATAAGAGCCAGTCTCCAACCAACCAACCCACTTTCCTGCTACCCTGGAGCCTGCTTCCCACCTCATCTCCACTCCAGAACATGCCCTGGTCCTGGGTGTGCTCCCCAGTTTTCTGGAACTTCTTTGTCACATGTACTCAAGCAGATGTGTGTATCCTTTAGATATTTTAATTTTCCTTTCACCCCCATTTCTCTCTCCTGCACACACACACACACACACACACACACACACACACACACACACACACACAGATACAGCTCACCCCTACTGCTCTAAGTCCCATGATGTGGACCCATAACTAGCTCCTCCATTCTCTTAACAGCTACCTGAATCCACTCTAAGTTCCTTCTCTTCAAATATAGCTGCTTGGGATTTGGGGGTTGTTTGTTTGTTTTGAGACAGGGTTTCTCTGTGTAGCTCTGGCTTTGTTAGAACTCACTTTGCAGACCAGGCTGGCCTCAAACTCAAAGATCTGCCTGTCTCTGCCTCCCGAGTTGCTGGGATTACAGGTGTGCACTGCAATGCCTGGCTGGGGTATTTTTTTTTTTTTTTTTTTAGCTTGTTTTCTGCTGTGTGAAAATTTTTCTCCAGCACAGAATGCACTTTAGAATCATCCAGGAAAACCTGGCCAAGCACCAGGCCCACTCCAGAAGATTCTGATTTAACTGGTCTTCGTAAATAAAACTCAGACATAGGAGGTTGTTTTTTATTTTGGGGAGCTGCCCAGTGATTCTAATGGACAGCTGATGGTGAACTATTCAAACTAATTCTGCTGCGTGCCCACCTGGCCACACCTCCACCCTTAGCAGGTAGGGTTTCTGCTTAGCCTTCCCCATCTCCATCCCCATGTACTGAGTGAAGCAACATTGCTGTCTTCATCAGAGAACTATCAGTCAGGTGCTTCAGGCGATGGCAGGCTTCCCTGAAGACTCCTCAACCAGGAGTATCTGCAGCGCAGCCCAACTCACTCATTTCCCTTCACACTTTAGCTCCAAGGCCCTTTTAGCACTTTAAGTCCCAGCTGCCACCAAAGCCCCGGGAGGATGTGGCTTGTCTCTGTACCCAGACCAAGTGAATGACTTCAGAACGAGGGGAGACTTGATGCCACACTACCAGATTCTAAGCCAGGGAGCTGGAGGAAACCTCAGCAGTTAAGAACTCAGCTGCTTTTGCAGAGGACCTGGGTTTGATTCCCAGCACCCACATAGTGGTTCACAGCTATAACTCCAGTCCCAGGGGATCTGCTCTCCATGGGCACTGCACAAACCCGGACATACACATAAAATGAAAAAGAAGAAAACAATTTTTAACCAAGTTTGGCATGATGGCACATTCTTGCAATGCCAGTATTAGGGAGGCTGAAGATCACTGTGAGTTCCAGGCTAGTTTGGGCTACACAGTGAGATTCAGGCTAGGGTAACCAGACCTTGTTTCAGACAGGGGGAAGAGAGGAGGGGAGGGAGATGGAGGATAGCCTGGTCTACATGCAACCCAGTCTCAAAAAAACACCAAGGGCTACCAAGCCTGATGATCAGAGTTTGATCCCTGGACCCACATGATGGAAGGAGAACCAGCACCTCTGATCCCCACATGTGCGCCATGGCATGCATGCCCTCACACACATATACATAAATCATTACAAAGGCTCCTAGGCCCACACCTGCATTCAGGTAAACTTAGGCTGAATTCAGTGAAAGCTGACACTGTTTGTGGATTCTATACTGTAAGCTTACAAATGGCTAAAACTTCCCCTTAGGCAGGCAAGACTCTGCTCAGAGACACCTGTGCCCCAGCACCCCTCCTCAATGTCCAGCTGTAGCTAGGCTGGGGCCTTACATATGCTCTGGGCAAGGGCTTTCTCCACCATCTTAGGACCGAGTCAATTGCCATCCTTCTGGAAGGCTAGAGTGACTGCCACCAGGGCCCCAATAATCATGTCAACCATGCCATTGTCCTTAGTACCAGCCATAGCCGGAAATCAACAAGGTCGGGGGAGGGGGGGGCTTGTGGCATTTACTAAACCCACAAGGAAGCTCTGGTCCAGGAGCTCCTCCTCAACCCAGAGTCCAAAATGTTTGTCCCTCACCTTGGCAACTGCAGAAGCAATCAACAGGTCTGTGGCTGAGCTAGCTGGTCAGAGCTAAGCCTAAACCCATCTTCGAGCTGTTAGTTTTTGTTGCTATGTGACAAATCAGCCAGCCACATACCCATTTATTATCTCCGTCAATTGCTCTGGCCTGAGAAAACCTCTTGGTTTTGGGACTGGGAATCAAAAACAAGGCCTTGTGCATAGGCAAGTGCTCTATCCACTGATCCCAGCCGGTACCTCAGGCACAGGCTGTGTTCTCATTGGAAACTCTTTGGAGGACAGTGCTGGCAGAAAACAGCTCCTTAGAGCTGTGGGGCTCTGGTCCCCACTTTCTTGGTGGCTGTGCGCTGGGGCATGCGTATACCTCTAAAACTTCCCAACTAGGGGCTGGAGAGATGGCTCAGGAGTTCAATTCCCAGCACCCACATGGAAGCTCATAACTACCTGTGACTCCAGTTCCAGGGGATCTGAAACTCTCATGCCAATGTACATTAAAAAAAATCAGAAACAAAAAAACCACACTTCACAGCTAACTTCTGCATGGGCAGCAAGACAAATGCTTTTCTTCTCTAGTTCTTTTAAAGGATCACCAGAGTGGGCCAGACTCACTCAGGATAATCTCCCTTGTAATTAACTGTAAGTCTAGAAGGGACTGTGAGACAATTTACAGATCCTTTCACTTTATCAGAACTTCTCCATTCAGGCCCAGAAGAGAAACTCCAGTGTCACTACTCAGGTCTTGTTGTAATTGGAGGGAGCTAATACAAGGAAAGGGTCACTGAGGTCAATGGGAATTCTGCTTCTCACAGGGACTTTCCCTACATCCACAGCTAAACTTCAGCAGCAGGGACCAGCAGAAGCAAGCTAGGAGAATCAAATTTCAAGGACAGGTAACAGTGGACACTTTTATTTAAAACAGAAAAGATCAGGCACGATGGGTTACAGGCGTGTGGGCAGGCAGCAAGGAGAATGAAGGGGTCCCCTGTTCTGACACTTCCTGCTGCTGGCCCAGCCTGCCCTGCCCTGCTTCTCCCCCACATTCTCAACCTGGACTCTCCTACAGGAGATGGAGACAGGTCCTAATCTATAAGGGCAGCTCTGGCCCACTCCCGTGTGACATCGGCTTCTTCCAAAGTGAGTTTCATAGTCCAAGTTGAATGTGGATGACTGGAACAGATCCCCACCCCCCCACACACACACATACACACATACATACATACATACAAGGGACACATAGAAACATGGAAGTTTAATACCTATTGTTTAACAGAGATGACAACAGGACACAGATACAACACTACAGCAAATGGGGTGAGGTGGAAGGGCAGAGGGACAAGATGGATCACAGCAACTGGAGGAGCGACTTCTTTGGTGCCCCTGCGGCCCTTTGACAGCTGACCCATGGCTCCAAGAATTACACACTGAGGAAGTCAGTACGGCAGCATCACTGAGTGGAGCCTGGAGCTTACACAGCATAAATAGTCAAGAGTCTAGACTCAAGGGTGGGGAGGGTCAGCACTGTCATATCAGGAGTGGAGCTCCTTAGGGTACACCCTTCTCCTAACCCTGTAAGAGGCAGGTCCCCTCACACCTTGGTCTGTCAACACACAGCAGCACCACACACCACTGCACCTCAGCAGCTTCACTCTGCTACATGCCTCTCCCTGCGAATGTTTTCAGAGTGATTGAATCCAGAGGTGGGAGGAGGCAGTGGCGGGGGCTGAGGGGCAGGAGGCAGCTGGAGGAAGAGGTGTGTGTGCCTGAGGTTCCTCCTAGGCGTCCTGGAGATTGCTGTTGCTCAGGAGCACCTGTTCTCCAGGCTTGAAGGCTGGCATCCCAAGGTAGGGGCAGTTGGCGCAGCGGAAAGCATCCCCCAGGTAGCACTGTGGAGAGAACAGGAGTCAACAGAGGCTAAGGGGCAAAGGAAGGACATCTTAGTATGCCCACAAGTCTCCTGTGTTACGAAAAGTCAGTCAGTAAGGGTGCCAGCCAGGTGAGGTGACACACACCAGTAATCGCTGTGCTTGGGAGGTTGAGGCAAGTTTATGGCCTGCCCGAGTTTAAGCCCTGTCTGAAGGAGGCCAGAGGGCTGGTATCTCAGGCAGCCTCTACTACAGGATCACATCAAGGTCAGCCAAAGCGCTGAGTAAACCACATCCCACACCGAGGAAGAGACAAAAGGGCTAACAAAAAAAAAAAAGATAGCCACCCCTTAGCATGGGCATGCTCAGGACAACCTCTTCTCATCATAGCTATATACATGGCCTTTCACACCAGCCGTCTATGAGAAAGCTTGACGACAGACAAATCCCTTAAGTTTGGCTAGTCTATGTCCCGAGGTACTGGGTGCAGGTACGTACATTTCCACAGGCTGACTTGGGCTGAGCACCCCGCTCCTTTGACTTCTCTCTTTCCAGTTCTTCTGCAAGGCCACAGGTACTAGGGAGAAGCCAACAGCTGATGAGTGAGACTTGCCACTACCCAGAAACTTCCAATCGCTAACGGTGCTAATATACATTTGAAGACTTTTCTCTCTTTACCAAGAGTCAAGTTAATGCTATGGACCAGCAGGCTGGGGTAGGCTGCTGGGAAAGAAGCAGAGTCGCCACAATTTCCAAATTCAGGAACAGAAGGTGCTGAGATGCAGCTCAGTAGTAGAGCACTTGTCTAGCATGTGCGGGACCCTGAGCTTAATCCCCAACACCACAAACATACAAAAATAAAAATAACAGAAAAATCTGGGTTTTTACTTGAAACCCTCTCATTTGTAAATGCTGGGAAATTGGAATACCTAAGGACTGATGAGGGCTGTGCGGGGCAGTCAGGACTGAAACCCAGCACCAGGGAGGTAGACAGAGAGAGAACAGCTCCAAGTTCAAGGTCAGCCTTAACTATATTGTGAGACTCTCAAAATACAAACAAAAATAAATATAATAAAAACAACCAGTGGATTAATAAACAAGTCAAGCCTGCACGACATTCACACAAACACCAACACTAGGCTTCCCTGTTAGGACAGAATGACACAGGTAACCTAAAATTTCACCTCTCTCAAACCCCCACCAGAACTGCAGAAACAACAACACATTGTTGGAAACTGTAGGGAAACAGAAGATTCAACTTAACAGATCAACTATCATTCCTGCCAGACCCTGAAACCTTATGGTGCCAAAGGGCTGGTAGCATACATGGAAAGACTTCCCTTAAGCAATCCAGCCAATCTGAGTGTAAGACACAGGGCTCTGGGATTTGGAGCCTCCCCATCCCCACATCTACCTAGATTCTCTTCAATAAAAGTGACCAAATCAATCCACCTAGATGCTCAGTTAACATGATCAGCTTGTTTTCGTTTATTTTAAGAAGTTTTTTGAGACACAGTCTTACTATATAGTCCAAGCTAGCTTTGAACTTACAACCCTGCTTCAGTCTCCTGCATGCTGGGATTGTAAGTATGCACCACCACACCTGACTCTGTCCTCCACTTTTAAATTATGAAGACTATGACCACCAAGTATCCTAAGAATCCTCTAACCAGGGAGTCAGAGGCCAACTAAAAGACACAGGCAGCTTGGAAGAGCTGAAGAGATGGATTAGCAGGTAACAGTGCATACTGCTCTTGCAGAGGACTCAAGTCTGGTTACCTTCATGGGTACCAGTGTACACACAAAATTAAAAAATAAAAAAAAAAAATAAAAACAGCCCAGCGGTGGTGGTACATGCCTTTAATCCCAGCACTCAGGAGGCAGAGACAAGTAAATCTCTGAGTTCCAGGCCAGTTAGGGATATAGAGTAACCCTGTCTCCAAAAGCAGGAAAGGGTATTGGTTTCTTTATATCTAAATGAAAAAGGATGCTCAACATATTGGTGGGGGCGTAATAGCAAAGAGAAAACTATAAACTAAAATCATGATAGGAGTAATAAAATAATAACAAAGGTTTTAGAAGATTGATAATCTTGGGGCTGGAGAGATGCCTCAGAGGTTAAGAGCACTGGCTGCTCTTCCAGAGGTCCCGAGTTCAATTCCCAGCAACCACATGGTGGCTCACAACCATCTGTAATGAGATCTAGTGCCCTCTCTGGCCTTCAGGTGTACATGCAGGCAGAACAGTTAAAAAAAAAAAAAAAAAAAAAAAAAGATTAATAATCTCCTAGAAAGGGACAAAAGAAAAATACTGGAAAATGTAAAAGAGGGAAAAAATTATAGGACTAGCCAGATTCAGTTGAGCACACCTTTAAAGTCAGCACTCAGGAGGCAGAGACAGGCGCATCTTTGTGAAGGCCACCCGCTCTACAAAGCAAGTTCCAGGCCAGCCAAGGCTTCACAGTGAGACCCTGTCTCAAAAACAAACAAACAAAAAGAACTAAAGAGGACAACACCTAAGTCACATGTTACCTAGACAAAAACTCCTAAACAAAATAAACACCACTCCCAGGACCCCAGACTTGGCTTTTAAGACTGCGGAGATGCACAGAAGAACAGACCCTACTCAAGGCAAACTATCACAAAATGATACTAACGAACCAGGGCCCCAAGGACTTCTTTCCAAAATGGAGAAAGTGGTCTTCTGGATCAAGGCTTTATGGAAGGGTTAAAGCTTCTGCCTTATTATCAGGGTCATCAGAAGACAGAAAACAAACAACTGTCTCTGAGCGCTTAAACCACATGGAAAAATGACTTCTGACTCGGAAATATGAATGCTATGATACTTTCTGTTCTTTTTTCTTCGGTTGTTTTGAGGCAGGGTCTCATGTGGAGCCCTTGCTGGCCTGGAACTCTCTATGTAGACCAGGCTAGCCTCAAAGTCAGAGAGATCTGCCTGCTTCTGCCTCCTGAGTGCTGGGTGCCCAGCCAAGATGCTTCCGTTTCTTCCTCCAGATGATGGTGTGTGGGTCTCTGCTATTCTTTAAGGGTTACCTGTTTGGTTTACTCCTCTATACACCTCACACCTCACAGGAAAACCCACTCAAGAGAGCGAGGAACAGAGACGACCACTGGAGAAGAACCTGCAGCCCAGACCCGCTCCCCAGCACTCACCAGTTCTTACAGGCCTTCCTCTTTTTCCCTTCCCCACATGACGGAGCCTTCAGGGAGGATGGATCGGGCTTCTTCAAATCTTCTGGATCTAGCAGTTCATCTGAGTCGATGAGATCCTAGAGAGTGATCAAAACAATCAGAACACAGCCACCGTCTCTCTGACAAAAAGCTGAGGTAGTCGCAGGCTAGGGGGGGGGGGGGGGGGGGCACGGCAAAGTTGGCAAAGTTGGCCGGTACTATATAGAGAATGTGTGTGTGTGTGTGTGTGTGTGTGTGTGTTGTGTGTGTGTTCATGGTGAGAGTGGGAACAGGTGAAATGCAGAGAAGTGCTGTATTTATTTCAATATATGAATAATCATGGGAATAATGTCAACGTAAAACATTTCCCACAAAATTCCAGAGGAATAAAGGCAAATAATTATACACATATTTGTATAACTTTTTTGTAAATATGAAGACAGTTATATTTTTCTTCAAGACAAGGTTTTTCTGTGTACCCCTGGCTGTCCTGGAACTTACTCTAAAGACCAGGCTAGCCTTGAACTCAAGAGATTCACTTGCCACTGCCTCCCAAGTGCTGGGATTAAAGGCGTTCAACACCATGGCCCAGCTTAATTTTCTTATAGATGGGCAGATCACAGGTGCAAACATTAAGTTTAAGACAGTGAGCATTCAATGAATTTGATTAAATTTCATTCAGTGAGCATTCAATTGCCTAGACAGAGGCCAAGAAAGTATCTCAGCTGCCAAATTCTGTCCTGGTTTATATCTACAAGAATCTTTACTATTTCATGTAAAGAGAAGACAAAAAAAAAATCTGTAGGGAAAAGACATTAAAAAATAAATTTAAAATGCTACTAATATGGAATGTCCTAATCAAAGACATGAAAGTCAGACACTGCTACATGCTGGGCCTTAAACACATTCACACCTACAAATCTAAAAGGCCGCTCTCGGGGCTGGAGACACGGCTCAATGATTAAAAGTACTTGCTGCTCTTGCAGAGGATGTGGGTTTGGTTTCTAGTACCTAATCAGCAGCGAATAACTACCTGTAACTCGACTCCAGTTACAGGGAATCCAACACCCTCTTCTGGGCTCCGAGGGCACCAGGCATGCACATAGTGCACAGACAGACAGACACACACACACACAGACTCATACACATGAAGTGACCTCAGGGCCAACTCACCACGCTGTCATCCTCCATGTCATTGGCTGAGAGGGTCCAGAGTTTGGCAGCAGCAGGATCCACAACAGGCTTCACTGCATCCAACAAGAAGGAGAGAAACTCTTTAACCAGTCGGAAGCAAACTACAAGCAAGCCCACGCAGCTCCACTAGGAACCAAAGGCACAGCTTCACACAGGAAAGGCAGCCTGCAATCCTTACACGTTTGCCTTGTGCTAGGCACTCCTCCAGCGCACCCATCATCCCACCTAACCCTAAGTACCTTATGAGGTGCCTGCCACCCTAGTTTTACAGCTGTAGGTATACAAGGTTACAACCTCCACTCGATGCTGCCTTTTTCGTGCTACCTGAGTTTACACACCCCCTCTGCCTCCTGGAGCTATTCTGAGAATCAAATGAGAGAAGTGTCAACAACTCCAAAAAGAGCAGATTTAGCCTCACTTAAGCCTGTTATACAAAAAACAGACTCTAGTGCTGCTGGTGGCCAGGTCACAGTCAATGACAGAACATTTTCCATCTAGGTCAGGATACCAGAAACAATCTTTGAGTCTTAGGGCTGGGGATTTAGAGGGGCATATAAAGCATTCACAAATCAAACTAGCAAGCAATCTTTAGAAATAAGTTTGTGACTTTATAAGCATAGAAAAAAACTCTACAGCCTGGCAGTGGTGACGCACGCCTGCCTTTAATCCCAGCACTTGGGAGGCAGAGGCAGGCGGATCTCTGTGAGTTCGAGGGCAGCCTGTTCTACAAAGTGAGTTCCAGGACAGCCAAGGCTACAGAGAGAAACTCTATCTCAAAAAACAAAACAAAACAAAAAAGAAAAAGAAAAAAGCCCTGGAAACGGACCAAGAGACCCTGTGCACCATTGTCACCATTGTGACGTCTCCTAAAGATAAACCCATCCTTTTAGGGCCTGCAGAGATTTCATCAACTGAACAAGTGACTCAGGCCTCCAATATGAGGTGGCCTCAGTGCACTAGGAAATATCTACATATTATATCAGGTTTGGATACTAATATGTCTAAGATAAAAGCACGGTAAGCATTCTGCAATTTGCAAATGACAGATTAAAGGATAATCTAAGACTATTTAGATGATGGTTCAGTTGCTAACATGCTCCTCAGGCCCACTCACATAGAATGTCCCCAGGCTAGTCTTACCTGAAGACTTCTTGGAAATGAAAAGCTTAAGCTGGCTAGAAGAGCCCACTTCAAAGTTTGGCTTCTTGCCAGTGATATGAACTGAGAGCAGGCTGTCACTGTGGTAGCCCAGGTGTTCCTGGACAGACTGCACCTCCTCCGAGCTTAAGGATTCCCGCTGCAACTGCAATTGAAGATATCCAAGGTATCAGTCCACCCTTTACCATTCACTGTTTCACCAAGCCAGCCTTGTGGCCAGCCTGGACAACATCCAACAGTGAGTCTGTGTCAAAAAAGAATTTAAGGCCCTGAATCACATTTTAAAAAAATTCAGAAATACAACACTAAGAGTTATTATGGAATAACACCTCTCCAAAACCAAGGAAATGCTAATATTTTTACATTTAGTTTCTAGAAAGACTATGGAACTATAAAATGCCTCTGCTTAACTTATACATCTCTACTCAACTGTCATAAATGCTCAGCCCCCATCCAGACTCCCACCAAAAGGTCTAAAGGGGCAGTATTCCATCTAGGCCTAGACTTGTTTACACTGAGATGGGCAGAAGCAGCAAACCACCTGTTCCCTGCAGCACAGCCACCACATTAAAGAGTTCCAGGAAGACCAGTACCAGCCACGAGTCTTCAGAAGGGATCTGCTCCCAAGGGTTTCTTCTTCAAGGCATCTCGTGTTTAACTCTCAGGCAGTACGTTTCAAATGACCGCCTAATTCTGGAGAGCACCTCTAACCTCACTTGCCCCCAGCTATACTAGGGACAAACTCTCTGGGTCTGAGTCAACCAAGGTTTACAGACCTAACAGGAAGGCTATCTCTCCACACCTACCTCTTTTACTTCCACCAGGCCAGAGAGAGTCAGGGCCGAGCACAGTTTAGAGGCCGTCTTCATTTTATCATTGTTAACTGTCAAGGAAAACCCCCATTAGTGGCTTCGTCCGTCAAAGCTGGGGAGAACTCTAAGACTCTATCCTCTGTGAGCCAGCAGGCTCTCAAACATAAAAACCTACTTTGTGTAGTGTGCATAGAGTTCAGTGACAGCAGTTTAACTTGAAAAATCTTTTGGTTGTTCTAAGTGTTCTCTCTTAGGCTAGGACAGGTCATAATTCCACTATTACCATTCTGCTTCTCAGAAATCCAGAGAAAGTTGGATAATTCATAAAGTTATAAACTGTGAAGTACACAGAAACCCAAGTTTGTCTCTGTAAAGCTCTATCAGACACCATTTAGTGACCCAAGGTTTCAATTTCCAGCAAGAAGGGGCTGGAGAGATGCTCAGTGGTTCCAAGCACGGACCACTCTTGCAGAGAAGGGGAATGTAGTTTCCAGCACCCACACTGGGAGGCTCACAAGCACCTAAACTCTAGCTCCAGAGGTGTAACACCTCTGGCCTCCTACACTCATGTTCATATGCAGATACACAGAAGGACTGACAAGAGTTCAAGGCTAGGGGCTGGAGAGATGGCTCAGAGGTTAAGAGCACTGGCTGTTCTTCCAGAGGTCCTGAGTTCAATTCCCAGCAGCCACATGGTGTCTCACAACTATCTGTAATGAGATCTGGTGCCCTCTTCTGGCCGTCCAGACAGAGCACTGTATACATAATAAATAAAATAAATCTTTAAAAAAAAAAAAAAAGAGTTCAAGGCTAACCTGGACTACACAGTGAATTCCAGGCCAGCTTAGCTACAGAGTATTATCTTAGGGTAGGGGTGGGGGGGAAGCCAGTCAGCAATGTAAAATATAATAAACTCTGATTTAGGTTTAAATGAACTATATAAAATAATGTGGTGTGTTGAGTGCATGTGTACATGTGGAGGTCAGAGGTCAATCTTAGATGTTTTTTTCAGAAGCCAGCCACCATTTTTGTGAGGCAGGGTCTCTGAGGGGCTAGAACCCCCAAGTAGGCTAGACTGGCTAAGCAGGGGGCCTCAGGGATCCAGCTGTTTCCACCTCTGCAGAGCTTTTAATATGGGTTCTAGAGGTTGAATTTAGGTCCCCATGCTTGCACCTTAAGCACATCACCAACTGAGCCGTCTTCTTGACCTGAATAATGTGAATTTCAATGCACTTACTTCTGGATTTTGTACTATGTATTCAACAACTGAATTTTCAGAAAATTTAAATTGCAATTTAAAAAACAGATTAAAGGGGCTGGTCAAGATGTCTCAGTGGGTAAAAGTGACTGCTGCGTCATCTTGAGGACTTGAGTTCCATCTCAGAACTCATTTGGTTTCCAGCACCCACAATAGGAGGCTCACAACCACCTTAACTCTAGCTTCAGGGAGATCCAACACCTCTGGCCTCCTGCATTCATGTTTATATACCTATGTGCAGGCAGGCAGAGAGACAGTCAGACAGACAGACATGTGTGCACGCACACAAACTCATTCTCTCTTAAAAATAATAAAAAAAGTTTTCCAGCAAGAAAGCTGGTGTCTGCGATAGACATCACAAGGTCACAGCTCTAGATATATAATTCCTGTTTTATTCATTCCAAAATATTTTCATTTCTATTACTCACATATTTCTCTCTCTCTCTCTCTCTCTCTCTCTCTCTCTCTCTTTTTTGTTTGTTTTTCAAGACAGAGTTTCTCTGTGTAACCCTGTCTGTCCTGGAACTCACTCTATAGACCAGGCTACCCTTGAACTCACAGTCCATCTGCCTCTGCCTCTCAAGTGCTGGGATTAAAGGCCTGCACCACCACCACCACCACCACACTTCACATATTACTCTTTAGCCCCATAATTCCAGCCATTTCTTTTCAACTCTATTCTGGAATAAGCACAGATTCACAGGAAGTTGCTAAGTGCTCCTCCTTACTGCTACAATGTTCTCTGTGTTAGAGACATGACAAAGATGAGCCTTTCATCTGGTGACAGAATTCAGCCATTCACCATGAGGGACAATTTTCTTCTATTAATGACCTGACAGGTCACCAAAGATGACACTTTTTTAATATCTGTTGCTCGGATTCTAACATCTATCTCTGAAAAGGAACCACTACAGGAACACTGATCTCCAAGTGGTACCTCTGGCTCAGGGAGACAGCATGCACATGCAAAAGATTCAGCTGTGTTAACCGCTCATGTTCTGAATACAGATGTCCTTACCTACAGCTGTCTCCACTGGTTCTTTCAGAAACAGACATCCCCCTGGCCGAAGGATTCGGGCCATCTCAGCCAGAACCTCAGCACTGTGCAGAGAGACGCTTCCAGGGACTATACCGGACAGAATAACATCGAAGCTGGATTCTTTATGGGCAGCTGAAAAGAACAATCAACAGTTGCCTACCCGGGGAGCAATCTCCCAACCCTCCCACAGACCTCCCAGAGGATACAGCTATCATCCCAGGAGAAAGAACTACATAGCAAATATGAAGCCCCCAATATTAGCAAAAGGGTGTTAAGACTCTGTTCTGCTCCGTATTTTAGTAAACCCTAGTAAGATCAGGGAAAGAAGGAAAAAAGGAGCTTTTTAGAACAAGAAACAGCCACCAAAGAAAAGAACATGCAGAAATTACCAACATGCCCAAGTGCATGGAAAAAAATGGGGTGACCCCAAACAAAATTCAAGTCTCAGGAACTACAAAGAGCACCTCACCTGTGAAAACTCCTCCTCCCCTGAGAAGAAAAGAGTAGGTAGGCACTTACACTGCAACAGCTGGCTGATGTTTTCTGTGACTACTTGGCCCTCGCTGCCAGTCAACCCTTGAAGACGATCTACCAGTTTTTTCAGAGCCTCCTCAGGAGATGACTTGTCCCAGAACACTGCCACAAGGTGGCCAGGGGAGATCCCAAACTCGGCCATTCCTGCAGTGCTGCTGTACCTAAAAGCCACTGGCAAAAGAAATCGAGACAACAGTGGAGTTTAATCCGTGGGTTATCATCAAGTATGAGTCCAACAACTTCCCAGTAAGGATGCATTACAGCTTGGTGTAAGCCCTAAGAGTCTGACTAAGGAACCTACAGCCCCAAGGCTTCATAATCCCAACATTCCCTGACATGACAGGTAGATAAGACGGATGGCAAAGTCAAGTCAAGGGGATCAGAATCAAGTAAAGAGGTTGGAGTTAGAGCTGACTACAAATCAATCAGGGCATTCATCAGGCTGAAGGGACTCACAGAGGAAGGCAAGAAATTGGTAGCTTTCCTAACCATAGTTATAGCTTTAAAAAAAAGATTTAAAATCTTTTTTTTAAAGCTATCAAATCAAACACTTCCTTTCCATTCCGTATAAAAATTCAGTTGCACTGAATCTGCAGTGAACAGCACTGTTTTCAGCATTTAACATTAGCCAGCCTCTGTGAAGCACCTGTACACAACCAATATTACGTGAGTAAAACAAATGCTGGGACTAGAATCCAAACCTGTGTAACCATGAAAACTTCCCACCCTGGGTTAGTTTTCTCTTCCACTTGATATGCAGGTCTGTATACTGTGAAGAAGGCCAAGGGATACCTCTGTTCGGCTGCTCCTTCCTTAAACATTAATGCTACCAAGCTTCTAGCTTCAAGTGAAACAAAGAAGCAGTGGTAGGAGGCTCATGCTGAACACTCTGACTTCTGCAGATGGCCAACTCTTCGAGAATGATACCACCACACTTCCAGGCTGAATTTAAGTCACATGCATTACACTTTCCTTCTATAAAAACATTCACTTCAGGGGCCAGCAGATGGATCAGCCAGTAAGGACACTTATTGCCAAGCTTGATGAACTGAGTCTCGATGTACCCCCCAAGGAGAGAGAAGTGACTTCTACAGGTTGTCCTGTGACCTCCACATGTGCAGGTGTGGCACAGATGGGCGCGCACACACACACACACACACACAAATAAAACGTAACTTATTTCATTTTTCTGTTACTTTTTGGGGGGAGGGGTCAAGGTCTCATACAGCCCAGGCTGGCCTTGAACTTCTGATCCTGCCTCCTCTTTTCCAAGTACTAGGATTACAAGTATGCAATCTCATGCTTGGCTTGAAAAATGTTCACCTCACATAACTGTTTCCTTTGTGTCTGAAAACTATGACCTTTAACCAGAGTCACCCTTGATTACACAGTGTTGTCCCTTTAGAGGTAAGTCACTAATGGTTTTCATTGCTACGGCAAAAGTGAAGTTCTTAGCTAGCTAGATTCAAAGTCTAACTTCCATTCCAAAGTGACTCCCTTTACTGCATTTTCCTCAACCACACCTTCTTGTCTAGTTTCTTCATGTGAACGCCAGCTCTGTGCTATCCTGACTCAACAAAAAGCCTAAGAGGATGCCGTGTGGTTATCAGACAGGCAGGAGTCTTTGGTTGTTTAGTTTGGGATTTTAAATCCCTAAAAAGTACATCATCAAGAATGAACACTTTAAAGCTTTTAATTGTCACATGATTTTGAGAAAGAAGACTTGTAAATCTTTAAGTTGGGTAACTTGGGATCAATCTCACATTTAAGAGCCTGCCAGGGGATGGGCAGTGGTGGCCCACACCTTTAATCTCAGCACTCGGGAGGTAAAGCCAGGTGATCTCTGTGAGTTCAAGGCCAGCTTGGTCCACAGAGCAAGATCCAGGACAGGCACCAAAGCTACACAGAGAAACCCTGTCTCAAAAAACAAAACAAAACAAACAACAAAAAAAGAGCCTGCCAGGGAAGACAACAGTACTTACTGCTGGGTAGTAAATTATTAAAAATGAATAACCTGTAAACCTATCACTGCTTTGTTTCATTAGGTACAGGCCTACAGCAAGTCAGCCTTTCTGAGTCTCCTTGTCAATAAACAACAACAGTAAATAACTTCATATTTTTAAGATTGATAAGAAATCCTGAAACAGTAAGTTACGTAAAGCACTCAGCAGATGCTGGTACATAGGACTCAACAAAATACTGTTCAGTCTGTCTTTGTTTCCAACAGTCTTGGTAAAAGCTCTCTCCTCCTTACAGACGCTTGTATGGGAGGAATGCGAAGCTTCCTTCTCAAGACAGCCTCACCTTTGACATCCAGTTCCAGCAGGATGGTCAGTAAATTATTAGAGTGTAAGTAACACATTCTTCTTCCCTAACAAGAGGGACCTCACAAGTAGATTCAACCTTAACCCTCCCCCTCCAACCACACACACACACACACACCCCTACAGCTCTCAGTCAGCATTTCCTGAATAGACAATGTTCTTTTCAGCTCTAAGAGCCAAAATGTGACAATTTTCATCACATTTTTTGTTACTGTGGCAAATGTTTCAAAACAACAAAACCAAACACACACACACACACACACACACACACCCAGCGCTAAGCCAGAATACTCAGGAGCTGTGACTCAGGGTGGTTTCACAACTTCAAAGAGGTGAAGTGGAAGTCAATGTCACATAATTGACCTTGTTTGTAGGATGCTTCTCCAACTGACAGCATCCACCCAAGGCTTTTCAAAAATGCTACTAGCAGTCATGTGTGGTGATACGTGCCTTTCATATCAGCACCTCCAAGACAAAGGCAGGCAGATCTCTGCGAGTTAGAGACCAGTCTGGTCTACATATCAAGTTCCAAGGCTACATAGTGAGACCCCATTTCAAAAGAAAAAAAAAGTTATTAGCAGGCAGTAAGAACAAGAGCAAACATCTGAGAACTCCTGGAGATGGACATATTTATCTTTAAGGCACCTAACAGATTCTTAGGCTTGTGGTCCCATTTAAGGTTAATGGGGGGTGGCGGGGGTTGGAGCTGACAATGGTTACAGGTGTCACTGATGAGGGGCAGAGGTACAGTTCAGTGGTTTGTGCTTAGCTAGCACATGTAAGGTCCTGGGTTCAGACGTCAATACCACAAGATCAAACAAACTTAGTAGTTAAGAATGGTGGAGCTTGCCTGTAATCCTAGCTCTCTTAGGATACTGAAGAAGGATCATGAGTTCTGAGGTCAGCTTGGGCCTCTCAGTGAAACTCTTGTCTCAAAAAGCACTATCGGGGCTCTGGGGACGGCTCAGTGGGTAAAGCCCATGCTTTCCAAGCACAAGGTCTTGAGTTTGAGCCCCAGACCCCACACAGAAAAGTTGGATGTGTGGGCCATCGAGATGATTCAATGGGTAAGGTGCTTGCTTGCTACACAAGCCGGACAACCTGAGTTCAATCCTTAGAACCCAAAGTGGAAGTAGAAAATCAACTCCTGAAAGTTGTCCTCTGACTTCCACAGTGCACATCCCTCCCCCCAGAATAATACAAAATAGAATATATGTAATTTTTAAAAGCTTATATGGCTGAGTATGTAATTCAGCACTGGGGAGCTGGAGGCGGGCAGACTGGCCAGCCAGTCCAGCCTTAAGCGGTGAGCTTCAGGCCACCGGGGACTCTGTCACAAGGGAGGTGGACTCCTTTGGATGAAAAGCAAAGCTGTCCTCTGGCCTCCACATACGTGCTCGATCATGACAATAAACACACAGTTTACTTCTTTCCTAGTGGAGCAGCGAGGCGCTCCGCTCCCCTCTGAAGACCGCGCTTGGACTCAGGCACGTCCGTCAGACGCTAAGAAGCAAGCCTCTCCCAAACTCCCAAACGGTGTGTTAATGCTAGATCCCTGGACCACACCCTGGCAGGGGGTCACCTCTCCGGACAAAAGCCTGGGTTCGTTTTCTAAGCAAGCATCCTAGGTAAGTCGGAAAGAAGTGCCGGGCTCAAAGGGACAACCTGTGACTCCAGGTTCTCCCAGATTTCGCGCTTTGCGCCAGGTGCCCTGAAGGAGACCCAAGGTCACACAGACGGCTCTGAGTAAACTGGCGGACCCGATGCCAGCTCCGGGTTTCACGCGGAAAGAGGGAGGCACCAGCCGAGCCCCGGCGTCAGGAATGCCGCCGCATGCGGGGCCCTGGCCACGGTGGTCCCTCACCCTGGCTTCCCCGGGCAAGCCAGGGACGGCGCCGGGAGCCGAAACGAGAGGCTGGAGGATGAGAGTGGGCCCGGGGAGGCCCGTTAGGCCGCGGCGGGCGCTCGAGCCGCCCCGAACGAACTCACCTGCCTCCTCGCCTGAACACCCGCTCCACGGACGCCGGCTTCTCGCCTCCCGTCTCTCGCGAGAAGAAGGCGCACAGCACCTAGTCCTATGAAGTAGACGCGGCCCGACTGACGGCGTGACGCTGCCCGGCGCGTCGCCGCCGTCAGCGTGCGTGCCCACTTCCAAGATGGCGGCGGCGGCAGCACTGTCTGGCGTCCTCGGCCGGGTGGGCTGGAGGCTCCTGCCGCTGCGGTGCCTGCCCGGTGAGGTGACGGCCGAGGCCGGGCGTCGGGGAGAGCGGGGGAAGGAGGAGCGGTGCGGGCCTGGGCTCTTGGCGTAGGGCGAGCGAGCGAGGCCGTGGTGGGGGATAGCAAGGTACAGGTGAAGGGCATCGGCGTGGAGCCGCTGAGCTGGAAAAATATCGCCTAGTGGGTTTAGTTCTCCGGACTGGAGCTGTGAGGGGCAAAAGCAGCGGGGCAGGCCTGTCACCCCGGTTCCCCAGAGGCCATGGAGCTTCAGAGAGGGCTCGGTGTGCCCAAGGTCACAGCTCGTCCGTTGCAGCGGCGTTCTCGGCTCCGTTGCTATGGGCGCTGGGCCAGCCTCGCTGGAGGGACAGATGGAACCGCTAGAGAGCGTCCAGTCCGGTTTCCCCCGGAGTCAGTCATCCGCACACCACGAGTGGGTGACATTCTCTTACCGTCATTACTGCCATATGCTCGGTATTTTTATTTCCACATTAATACAGACATTTACTTTAAAAAAAAAAAACCTTTGTACACTGTTATTAAGTGGAAGAGCAAAAACACTGTCCATAAATAGAATATTTCTACAATGACACATGAACGTAAATATGCAACTAAAATTTCTGAGCTGCAGAGACTTTACAGCCATACTTTGGGGACCCCTCACTTCAGATTTTTGTGGGTATTTGCTCCATTTTCTGTGCATATAACAAAATGCTGATGTTTTTATGCATGGTATTCTGCGTTTCTTTCCACATTATTGTTTTCAATGGCTTCCTTTTTGCCAATTTTATCTAAAGTTTCGGACAAGATATGTTTAGTAAAAATAATACCTGGGTCCAACACATCCAATCTTAAGTATTTAATCAAGAAATTGTGTCCACAAAAAGTTGAAGTGTATTCACAGCAGCTTTATAATGGCTGGACCCTGAAAATCCAAACATCTGTCTCTCGTAGTACTATGCAAGCACTCTGCCACAGGTACCTGCAAAGCACCCCACCCCTTTCTAAAACTTTTGAGACAGGGTCTCACTCTATGTCCCTGGCTGACAGGGAACTTGCTGTGACTGACCTTGAACTCAGAAAGACTGGCCTGCCCCTGCCTCCAGAGTGCTTAAAAGAGTGTGCTATCATCATCCTTAAAAAAAAAGGGAGGGGGGAACCTTTTTAACCTTTTTTTGTTTTTTTAATCAGTGTTTTGGGTTTTTTTTTTTTTTTTTTTTTTTTTGGTTTTTCGAGACAGGGTTTCTCTGTGTAGCTTTGTGCCTTTCCTGGATCTTGCTCTGTAGACCAGGCTGGCCTCGAACTCACAAAGATCCGCCTGCCTCTGCTTCCCAAGTGCTGGGATTAAAGGTGTGCGCCACCACCGCCTGTTTGCATATATGCCAGAAGAGGGCATCAGATCCTTTTATAGATAGTTATGAGTCACCATATGGTTGCTGGGAATTGAACTCAGGACCTCTAGGAAGAACAGCCAGTGCTCTTAACCACTGAGCCATCTCTCCAGCTCCATGCTGTAATCTTATTAAAAAAACAAACAAGGGCTGGAGAGATGGCTCAGAGGTTAAGAGCACTGACTGCTCTTCCAGAGGTCCTGAGTTCAATTCCCAGCAACCACATGGTGGCTCACAACCATCTGTAATAGGTCTGGTGCCCTCTTCTGGTCATACATGCTGTATACATAATAAATAAATCTTTAAAACAAACAAACAAACAAACAAACAGCCGGGCGGTGGTGGCGCACGCCTTTAATCCCAGCACTTGGGAGGCAGAGCCAGGCGGATCTCTGTGAGTTCGAGGCCAGCCTGGGCTACCAAGTGAGTCCCAGGAAAGGCGCAAAGCTACACAGAGAAACCCTGTCTCAAAAAACCAAACAAACAAACAAACAAAGCCATTATTGGGGTGAAAACTGAAAGATCAGAGAAAGAACAAGCCAGCCATGTTCTTACCTCTGCGAAATCCTCAGCCTCAAGAGAGAGACTTCTTATTTACTCACGCCTTACATACTTTTCTGTGTCCTGCCATCTTACTTCCTGGAATTAAAAGTGTGTGTGCTTCCCAGTACTGGGATTGAAGGTGTGTGCCACCACTGCCTGGCTCTGTTTCCTGTGTGGCCTTGAACTCACAGAGATCCAGATGAATCTCTGCCTCCCAAGTGATAGGATTAAGGGTATGTGCCACCACTGTCTGGCCTCTATGTGTATTCTAGTGGCTGGCTCTGTTTTCTGATCCCCAGATAAGCTTTATTAGGGTGCACAATCTATCACCACACAATGCTTTTCTTTCTTATTCCTTTTTCTTTTTCAAACTTGTGTAGTCCTGTCTCAACCTGAGTTATATACGTAGACTCTGTCTCAAAATAATATAAACTGACCTTTTGATATTTTGTGTGTGTGTGTGTTTAAAACAGGATTTAACAAAGATTTTAATGTAGGCTTAAGCACAAGGGTTAAGAAAAAAAGAGGCACTTGAAAGTAAGACAGATCCAGGAGAATGGCTTTTCAGAGTCACAGAAAGTAAAACATTCCCAAGTTTTGTAGACTCCTCAAAGAGTTACCTAGGACGATCTTTTGGCTCAGCAGTTAAGAGGTCGTGCTGCTCTTGAGAGGACCCTAGTTGAATTCCCAGCACACATTTTGGGCTGCTCACAACCACCTGTAACTCCAGCTCCAGGGCATCGCATGCCTTCTTCATACCCACACACAGACTGACACCAGTATACATAATTTAAAACTAAGTAATGGACTGGAGAGAGGCAGCACTGGCTGTTCTTCCAGAGGACCCAGGTTCAGTTCCTACCCGTTCCATGGATCCAATCGTCTCTTCTGGCCTCTGTGGACACAAGGCATTCACATGGTGCACATACATACATGCAGGCGAAAGACTCATACACGTAAAAAAAATAAATAATAATTCTAAGCAGGGCTTGAGAAATGGCTCATCAGTGAAGAGTACTCACTGTTTGCAGATGCCCAGGGTTCAGTTCCCAAACCCTTCTTCTCTCCTTTGTGGTCATCAGACATGTGGTACATATACATACATGCAGGCAAGACATTCATACACTTAAATAAATCTTTAAAAGTTAGCCAAACAGTGGTGGTGCACACCTTTAATCCCAGCGAATCTCTGAGTTCGAGGCCAGCCTAGTCTACAAAGTGAGTTCCAGGACATCCAGGGCTACACAGAGAAACCCTGTCTTAAAAAATGAACATAATTTTAAAATACATATGAAGCAAAAGAAACTAGAGAAAAATTTAAAACATGTAGATAAAATCCTAGGACAAGCAAAAAGTAACCTAGGGTGTAAATTTCAGAACAGAAGTATGGGGGCTGAAAGGGTGGGAGGGAGTTTTCTAGGGTGATAGTAATGTCTGGCTACATAGGATTCCTGTTATACGAGTGTATATGTTTACATTGCTCACAGGATGATATATTTAAGATTTGTATATTTTGCCGGGCAGTGGTGGTGCACGTCTTTAATCCCAGCACTCGGGAGGCAGAGCCAGTTAGATCTCTGTGAATTCGAGGCTAGCCTGGTCTACAGAGCGAGATCCAGAACATGCACCAAAACTACACAGAGAAACCCTGTCTCGAAAACAACAACAACAAAAAAGATTTGTATATTTCATTGTATATAAACAATTCAGGGGGCTGGAGAGATGGCTCAGAGGTTAAGAGCACTGACTGCTCTTCCAGAGGTCCTGAGTTCAATTCCCAGCAACCACATGGTGGCTCACAACCATCTGTAATGAGATCTGGTGCCCCTTTCTGGCCTGCAGTCATACATGCTGTATACATAATAAATAAATAAATCTTTAAAAAAAATTCATAAAGGAACAGTAATCAGTGAACTCTAATGATACATAGGCTGAAATGTTGGAAATGCAGAACACTGAGATCTGCAATAAATAATCAGAAATTAAAGTGGACTAATGAAGAGCATGATAAATCTGTAGAAGCTGGAGTGGATATACAGGTGTTCACAATTCCTTCAGCTTATCTACAGGTTTACAAATCTTGATGATAAAATGTTGGGAAAGGAAAAAGTAGTATGCGTTTTTAGACAGGAGACCCTACCGATATCTCCTACAGTAGTGGGGTTGCAAAGGTTAGGGGGGTGGCTTGGAGGTTAAAGTGTTTGAGTGTGAGGACCAGAGTCCTGGTCTTCAGAACCCATATAAAATGCTGGGTGTGGTGGTACATGCCTTTAACCCAGCGCTCAGGAGGCAGGGAGGCAGATTCTGGGAGTTTGAGGACAGCCTAGTCAACATAGTGAGTTCCAGGCCGGCCAGGACTGTACAGTGAGACCTTGTCTCAGAAACAAAACAAACAAATAAAAAAAGAAAGAAAGAAAAGAAGCCCAAAGGTGGAGACTGGGGATCTCTAGTTCAAGCTGGCTAACAAGACTAGCCATATCAGTAAGCTCTGGGTCAGACTGAGAGACCTTACCTACCTCAAGGAATAAAGAGGAAGAACATATTGAGGGTGATTCCCAAAGTTGACCTCAAGCCTACACATATTTGTGCATGCTCAACTACCCACATACATACAGACCTGCACACAATACACACAAACACAAAAAAGAAGGAAAAGAAATGCCATGTAAACACTTGAAGGTAGGCACTGTTATAATATGTACATAGGTTTCACTTTTGGAGGGTACCTTAACATTGTTATTGAACAAGTAGAGACTAACACTCTTAATCTGTGGGTTTTTAAAAGCTGCATATTATGGGGCCAGCAAGATGGTTCATTGGATAAAGGTGCTTGACACATAAACCTGGCAACCTGAGTTCCATTCCCAGAATGGATGTAAGGATAAAAAGAGAGAACCAACTCCACAAAGGTGTCCTCTGAGTTCCAAATGTGCCATTGAATGAATACATGTACATTATGCACACACAGTAATAATTAAAACAATTACTTTAATCTGTATATTGAGGGAAATGTTTTATACAGAGCCGTACAGCTGACCAGTGGTAGAAACAGGCCAAGAAGACAGCCAGGTCTTCTGTTAATTGGTTTACATGTCTCAAGTTTTCTGTTTCACAAGGTGTCTGTGGGGGACTCAACACTGGAATGAGTGGCTGCAGAGGCATCCCTACTGTGGATTTCCTCCTCATTCTTATCGACACTCTGGGTCTCAGGGGTGTTCCATGGTGAATGTCCCTGACCAACAGTCTTGTTTCTGTTTCAGTGGCCCGCTGCAGATCGCCTCTGATGCCACGTGCCTTCCATACTTCTGTGGGGTTCAGGTCTTCAGAAGGGCAGAAGCAGCAGCCTCCCCAATCTTTTTCTCAGCAGCGTTCTGAGACACAGGGGCCAGAAACACCCGACTCAGAGCTTCCTCGTCAGCCCCCCAGGTAAGCATTAGTGTCCAGTCTACCCATTGCTGGCCACTTTGCATGCTTCAGAATGTACCTTTCTCCTCACCAGCCCCTCTTTGTGTGTGTGTGTAGTTTTTTTTGTTTGTTTGTTTTTGTGGGGTTTTTTTTGTTTTTTTTGTTTTGTTTTTTTTTTTTTTTTTTTGGAGACTGGGTTTCTCTGTGTAGCTTTGGAGCCTTTCCTGGAACTCACTCTGTAGACCAGGCTGACCTTGAACTCACAGAGATCCTCCTGCCTCTGCTTCCTGAGTGCTGGGATTAAAGGCATGTGCCACCACTGCCCAGCCTCACCAGGCCCTCTTGCCTTCAAACATTTTTTTTCTTTTCCTCCCTTCTATTCCCTTCCCTCCTCTCTCCGTCTCCTCCCCTTCCCTCTTTTCTTTCTGATAGGGTCTTGTTGTTTAGCTCTTGTTGAGCTGGTGGTACTTTGCACCCCCAGGCTGATAGCCCAGACTTGGCCTTGAACTCTGGGAACCTTCTAGCCTCAGTCTCCAAAGCACTGGTATTATAGGAGTCAGCTACTGTGCCTGGCTGCTTTCAGTTATTTTTAAGGATAACAGCAGTGCCTTTGCATTTTAGAAAATCTAAGCGTTGTGAAGAATACTTGAAATCATACACAGAGATAACTCGTCTGACATAAAAATGCCTTTTAGATATTTCTATAAGCATTTTTTTTTAAAAGCTGAGATCTCACTCTGTAGCCTAGGCAGACTTTGAACTCAGCAATCTTCCTGACTCAGTCTCCCAAGTGCTAGGATTATAGATGTATACCATAGCCTGTTCAACAGGAGATTCTTAATGTCTTTTCACAGTTCGTGTCATTTTAGTAGTGGTATAATGTTCTGGTAATGAATGAACCAAAATGATTTAACCTGTCTTAGATCCTATTTGGATTCCATTGTTTGGTAGGAGACATAATATGATAAAGCACGTGTGTCTCTCTCCATAGAAGTGGGAACTTTGAAGTGAAGAACTCTGAAGAAGTAATCCCAACTACTAAAGTGTCTTAGTTAAGTTTTCTGTTGTGGTGATGAAGCACCATGACCAAAGCAAGTTGGGGAGGACAGGGTTTACTTGGCTTACACTTCCACATCACTGTTCCTCACTGAAGGAAGTCAGGGCAGGAACTCAAACAGTCAGGAACCTGGAGGGAGGAGCTGATGCAGAGGTCTTGGAGGAGTGCTGCTGACTGGTTTGCTCCTCATGGCTTGCTTAGCCACCCACACAGGCTGGGCCCTCCCCCATCAATCACTAGTTAAGAAAATGCCCTACAGCTGGAACTTACGGAGGTGTTTTCTTAGTTGAGGTTCCCTCCTCTCAGATAACTCTTGCTTGTATCAAGGTGACATAAATCTAGCCAGCACTAGAAGGATCACAGGTTCAAGGCTTGCCTGGGCTACATGCAGCATAGAGGCAAAAGATAAACACATTTGAAGTTTCATTGCCTGTATAGGGCAAACTTGGCTTCCACATGGTAATAATAATTTACATTTCTATTAGATCTGGGTTTTTTGTTTGTTTGGTTGGTTGGTTGGTTGGTTGGCTTTGGTGTTTTGAGACAGAATCTCTCTGTGTAGCTCTGACTGTCCTGGAACTAGCTATGTAGAGGCTAGCCTCTAACTCACAGAGATCCTCCTGCCTCTGCCTCCCAAGTGCTGGATTAAAGGTATATATGTCCATGCCTAGCCCAGTTTTTTTAATAAATCTTTTTTTTTTTTTTTTGATTTTTCGAGACAGGGTTTCTCTGTGTAGCTTTGCACCTTTCCTGGAACTCGCTTTGTAGACCAGGCTGGCCTCGAACTCACAAAGATCCGCCTGCCTCTGCCTCCCAAGTGCTGGGATTAAAGGCCAGTTTTTTTAAAGTACTTAAAAAATTGTGTAATTTTGCTGCTGTTATGGATTGTAATGTTAATATCTGTGTTTCCCAATGGTCTTAGGCAACCCCTGTGAAAGGGTTGTTAGACCCCCAAGGGATTGAGGCCCACAGGTTGAGACCTGCTGCCCTAGAGTTTAAGTTACTGACTGTGAGCTGCCCAGTGTGGGTTCTGGGAACTGAGCTCAGATCCTCTGCTAGAGTAGTAATTGCTCTTAACTGCTGAGATGTTCTCCAGCCCCTGTTGTTCATTTTATTGATTGGTTGATTGATGATAAGTTTGAAACATGTTCTTCTTGTGTAGCTGACACTGGCCTTAAACTCCTGAACTTCCTCCTGTCTCAACCTCCCCGTGTGCTAGGATTGCTGGCAGACACCCAGCTAAATACTTTGCAACTCAACAAATATTTTTTGAGGATCTATACCTATGAATAAACTAACCATTTTTCTTGCTCTCCTGGAGTTACAGCCTGGTGCAGACATAAGAGAAGCCTTTAAACACCATAGAGTATCCATTCTATGACTCTGCAACATGACCTTGTCATCTATAACTATGTTGAGCCATAGCCATAGTTCTCATGGGGCACATATAGCCTATGGGCCCCAGGTTGGACACACTTGTCTAGGGATGATAAGCAGAAACCCAGGCTGGTACAGGGCCATTGTCTTCATATCATAAGAACTCAAATCCCTGGACATTTTTTTACTGTGGAGAGAGGAAAAGGATGATAGGATTTGAACCTTGTTGGTATTAAAACATCCATACTAATGCAGAAGTAAAGCCCCTCTTAACATGCTTAGAGGAGACCCAGGAGCCCTGTTTCTGGTTGGGCTCATTTTGCGTGCCAGGCTGTAGAGGTTGAGGTGGTGTGTGCTGGGCCCTGTGTCTCAGGTACACAGACCAGAGTGGAGAGGAGGAAGAGGACTATGAGAGTGAGGAGCAGCTGCAGCATCGCATCTTGACAGCAGCCCTAGAGTTTGTGCCTGCCCATGGCTGGACTGCAGAGGCCATTGCTGAAGGAGCCCAGGTAGGTAGAGGCGAGGGTGGGCCAGCAGACCCAGACGAACCACAAAGGGCCTCATGCTTTCTTGAGTCTAGCTCAGAGCTTCACAACTACAGGGTTGTTTGGGTTGTCTTCTTCTTTCTTTCTTCCCCATAGGATAGAAATGGCTTTATTTATTTGTTTGTTTATTTATTTAATCTATTTATTTATTTAGAGACAGAGTCTCTCTACATAACCCTGGCTGTCCTGGAACTTGCTCTGTAGTCCAGGCTAGCCTTGAACTAAGAGAACTGCCTGTCTATGCCTCCCCAGTATTGAAGGCGTGCATTACCACCGCCCAGCACCTATTCTTTTAACATGAAAAATAATTTAAGAGCTCTTAGTCATTCTTTAAATATTTATTGAGCAATGTTATGTGCCAGACACTTTGTAGGGACAGTGACAGTGTTCACATGACACAATTCCTTTCCTTGTTGAGCTATGTCTAGCAATATTTTTCTTTAAATTTAAGGGTTTATTTTTGATTTGTGTGTATGTGTTGCCTACATGTGTATGTGTGTGTGTGTGTGTGTGTGTGTGTGTATGCACCACACATGTACCTGTGCCTGAGGAGTCCAGAAGTGAGTGTTGAATCTCTTGGAACAAATGGTTACAGATGGCTGTGAGCTGCTTGTAGGTGCTAGGAACTGAACCAGGTTCTCTGTAAGAGCAGCAAGTGTTCTAAACAGCTGAGTGGTCTCTGCAGTCTCCCAAACCCAGCACCATTCATGTGTGTGCTGCTGGGATTGAACTGGAGCCTCATGCATGCTAGTTAAGCACTCTGCCACTGAACAGTGACTCAAAGTTTCTTTTTTAATACATTTTAAAAATTACTTTGTTTCCATGTGTATGGGTGTTAATAGGTGTGTGTCTATGCACCCCATGCATGCCTGGTACCTGTAGGGACTGGAAGAAGTTGTCAGATCTCCTGGAATTAGAATTACAGATAATTGTAAGCTGCCATGTGGGTGCTGGAAATTGAACTCCCCTGTCCTCTGGAAGAACAGCCAGTGCTCTTAACCACTAAACCATCTCTCCTTTATTTTAAGCCAGAGTTTTCTCTTGCTTAGTTACCCAGACTGCCTCAAACTCACTCGAGCCCAGGCAAGTTTTTTTTCTTTATTGTGTGTTGAGAATGGAAACTTAGCCTGAAGCATACTAAGCAAGTGTTCCATCACTGAGTGTTTACTGTCTGTTATATTTTGGGGCTAGCGTTCCAAGAACTGGATTTCATTACGACATTTCATACCTATATATCGTTATGCTTTGTTTGTCTTCCATGTGTCTCCCCCCTTTTTGTCCTCTTTCTCTCTTGTTGATCTCCTCTCTCCCTTCACCCCAGTAGTTTCCCATCTGCTTTCATGACATAATCCATTGCGTTCCCTTGCTCCCTCAGAGTCCCCTTTCTGCTTTCATGTTACACACACACACACACTTAAATCTAAATTTTGCCCGTGAGAGAAAACATTCAAGTATGTGTCCTTCTGAATCTAGCTTATTTTAATTAACACAATGTCCAGTTTCATCACTTTCCCTGTGAATGCCTTCATTTCCTGTAGCAGGCTTTTTCTTTGGTCCATCAACCAGCTCCCAAATCATGACATTGATACTTATTATTAGTTAGGAATGCTAGGCCTTAGCTTGGGCTCATTTCGTGCTAGCTCTTATAACTTAACCTGTTTCTCTTCATCTACATTTTGTGTCAGGGCTTTTTACCTTTCTTTCATTCTGTATGTCCTACTTTCCTGCTTCTTGTGTCTGCCTGGCTGGCAGCCTGGCTTCTGGCCCTGGGCCTGTCCCTCTCTTTCTCCCTCATTCTCCCCTCCTCTTCTCTCATCCTTCTGGAGCCTAAATTCCTCCTATTTATTCTCTCTGCCTGCCAGCCCTGCCTATCCCTCTCCTGCCTAGCTATTGGCCGTTCAGCTTCTTATTAGACCAGTCAGGTGCCTTAGGCAGGCCAGGGGGAACAAATGCAGCACATCTTAGAATAATTCAGCATAAACAAATGTAACACCTTTACACAGTTAAAGGTAGCATAAACAAATGTAACACCTTTACACAGTTAAAGTAATATTCCACAGCATGAACAAATGTAACACATCTTTGCCTAGTTAAAATAATATTCCACAACAATTTCCTTCTTATGTCTGAATTCAACTCTTTTGTGTATATTTAACACATTTTCTTTTTCTTTCCTTTCCTTTTTTTTTTTTTTTTTTTTTTTTGGTTTTTCAAGACAGGTTTTCTCCGTGTAGTTTTGGTGCCTGTCAGATCAGCACTGGATCCACATCTTGACTATTGAAAGTAGTGTAGCAATAAACATGAATGTACAAGTATCTCTGTAAACACTAACTTAGATTCCTTGAGGTGTTCACTAAGGCGTGGTACAGCTAGATCTCATGGCAGTTTTCTTTAGTTTTTTTGAGAACTTCCATACTGATTCCCACAGTGCCTACACTAGTTTACATTGCCACCAGCGGTGTCTAAAGTCCCCACCTTTGTGTTGACAGGCACAGTGACTCATGTCTGTAATCCCAGGACTTGAGAGGCAGAGGCAGGAATGTCACCATAAGATTGAGGCCAGCGAACTACACGGTTCTGGCCAGCCAGGGCTTCATGGTGAAGTCCTCCCAATTCCCCTTTTCTCATATCCTTGACATCATTTCTCGTCACTTGTTTTCTTGAAGCTTTTTTTTTTTGACCAGGGTGGGGTGGAATCCCCAAGCAAACTTTTGTTTGTTTGTTTTAAGATAGTTTGATGTTGGCTAGACTGGCCTCAGATTTGTATATATCTGAGGTTGGCCTTGAACTCTATAAACTACTGATGTTCCTACTTCCACCTTCCAAGAACTGGGGTTGTATGTTTGTGCCATGCCCAGCCCTCAAAGCAGTTCTGTTTTAAATAAAAATTATGGGCCGGGCGGTGGTGGCGCACGCCTTTAATCCCAGCACTTGGGAGGCAGAGCCAGGCGGATCTCTGTGAGTTCGAGGCCAGCCTGGGCTACCAAGTGAGTCCCAGGAAAGGCGCAAAGCTGCACAGAGAAACCCTGTCTCGAAAAACCAAAAAAAAAAAAAAAAAAAAAAAATATTATTATTATTATTATTATTATTATTATGAGAGAGAGAGAGAGAGAGAGAGCGCCACTTAGAGGGTGTCTAACTCCCTGGAGCTGGAGTTAGGGGAGGCTGTGAGCCACCCAGTGTAGGTGCTGGGAGAAAAGAACAAGGACTCTTAACTACTGGGCTGTCTCTCCAGCCCTCAAAACACTTTTAGTTTATGCTTCTCTGATAGTTAAGGATAGTTTTCAAATATTTATTGTCTTTTTTTTTCTCATGAGGACTTTGTATTCCATTCACGAATGTATTTGTTGATTGCATGATTTGTTTTTGTTTCATTTTTGGAGGTTTGTTTCATCTTGTTCTTGTCTATGTCAGCTTTGTGTTTATTGCTGAAGCTATACTCAGGCCTTGCTGAGGGGTTCTATGGACTTGCTTCCTGTCTCCAGCTGCTTTTGCTTGGGAGCCTTGGTGCATGGCGCTTTATCTTTTTCTTCCAGCTTCTTAGGTGTGAGAGGCTTGGAGCTCAGAGTATGGCTCCTAGCTTCTCGAGCTCAGGTCCAGAGGCTTGCCCTCACAGAATTTCTTGAGGTTTTCTTTCTCCTTTGCCTTGAGTGCAGGGATTGAAGGTCTGTGCCACCAACCCAGCTCATTCTGACTGTAGTTAATGACTGTGGAAACAGGGCTGAGAGATCTGCAGGCAACTTGGAGTTTGAGGAGCCAGGATTGTGTGCCATCTGTCACTTTAGTGACATGTAGCTGGGACAGCTCCACCTTCCAATGTCCCTGCATTTCATCAGTTCCTCCTTGCCAAGAGGACACAAGTCCTTCATCTTAGCCATGGTTGAACTTGGTGGTAGTGTTACTGCCTGCTCTGAGTGAAAGAGTCAGAGTTCTTTAGAGACACTAAATGTTAATTATCTGTCGTGTGTACTTAGCAAAGATTTCCTCCTAGACTCTTCTTTCTAGTTTGCTGTAATCCCGTCTGTCAATTCTTCGATTGTCCCCTGTGCTGTTGGTCCTTTTCAGGAAGTCCTCGCCTGTGCCTGTCTTGAGGTGCTTTGTCTGTTGGTGCCCACTAATCACTGTTCACCGTCCTGGACAGATGAAGCTGTGGAGTAGTGAACCTTAAGGTGGATAATCAGCTCCAGAGCTTGTCCATCCACTGCCCTCAGGCTTAAGGTTGTTAGTCTGAGGGCCGTTCTCATCGATTCTCTGCTATCAGAAACGAGGGGTGGGGATATTTTCCTTCACATGCTTCACAATCTGGGCCTAGCATTTTGTCTTCTGTACTTTTTGATTTGTTAATGTCTGGCCCTCGTCCGAGCTGGAGGTGTCAAGCATATATAATGCGTCTGAACGAGAGGAGCTAACAGGACTACAGGTGGCTTCTGAATCTTCTAGCCTGTGTCTGGATGTGAGTATATGGCAAGAGTATAAAGGGAGAGAATCCCAGTTAGATGTGGTGGCTCACACCGCTAGTCCAGCACTTGGAATTTGAAGCAAGAGGATCCTGCAGGTTTGAGGGCAGCCTGGGCTACATATTGAGAGCCTGTCAAGAGAAGGTCTGAATTAGAGCATCTCGGTACTGGAGAGAGAACAAAAGATACCTTCCACAGCCAGCTGTTGGTTATTGTAGCGATAGCTGTTGGGTCCTGGGTCAGAAGTCAGAAGGAGAGGGCTGTGGCGTGGAGGAAGTAGAGAAGAGAGGCTGAGAAGACTGTGTGCCAAGCAGGGGAAGCGAGGTGGAAGTTGAGCATGGTTGAATACTTGTGGGGGAAAAAAGCAAAACACAAGTGGGGTGGAGATAACAAAGGGGCGGGCAAAATCAAAACCATGAGATTCTTAAGGCAGGAGTGGCAAGATTGGGAAAGAGGTGGAAGGACTGGCCTTCGACGTACTGGAGAAGGCAGCGTTGGGTCTAGTTTCTTCCTTTCTTCCCTTCCTTCTTTTTCCTTTTCTTCTCTTCTCTTCTCTTCTTCTCTCTCTCCTCTCCTCTCCTCTCCTCTCCTCTCCTCTCCTCTCCTCTCCTCTCCTCTCCTCTCCTCTCCTCTCTCTCTCTCTCTCTCTCTCTCTCTCTCTCTCTCTCTTTCTGTTTTTTAGACACACTCACTCAATACAGGCTTGGCTGTGTTAGAATTCACTATGTAGACCAGGCTGGCCTCAAACTCACTGGGTTTAGTTTGTTTTTTTTTTTTTTTTTTTTTTTTTCTGGTTTTTTCGAGACAGGGTTTCTCTGTGTAGCTTTGCGCCTTTCCTGGATCTCGCGCTGTAGACCAGGCTGGCCTCGAACTCACAGAGATCCGCCTGCCTCTGCCTCCCGAGTGCTGGGATTAAAGGCGTGCGCCACCACCGCCCGGCCTGGGTTTAGTTTTTAAACACTAAGGGAATTCCCATAAGATGGCTTTTGATTTCTTTTCAGAGTACATATAATAGCTTGGGGAACCTAACTAAGGAGTAGGAAGAAGCAGAAATTTGTGGGGGAAGGAAGAAATTGATGGAGATTTCACAAATGTGAGAGAAATTAATGGGATTATTTGGAAAAATTGGATGAAATGGAATACTCTGTTAACTGGCTTTCCTCTTATCTTCTTTCATACTGGGTGCTTGCTACCTGTAGACTGCTGACCCAGTTTGTGGGTGAGAGCTGTAACCGTCTCCTGATTTGTAAGGAATGCCCCTGAACAGAGCTAGTGTGCAGGGCAGTGAGACCGAGTGTGTAATGTGCACAGCGGCCTGCTGCCATCCTGCAGCGATGATCCTGCAGCCACCATTCATGTCAGCACTGCTGCACCCTTGCTCTCCTGCGGAAGAGAGGCAGCTCCCCTGCCCTGCAGCAGGAAGTCAGATTAATGTGTTTTTCCTCCTTTCCTGCTGCCTGTTCCTGTTACATCGAGGTTCTGCCTCCGTAGATGCTCAACAATCAATATGGATCAGGAAAGCAAAGGCTGTCTCTGCTTGTGGCTCCTCAGTGGCTCGACTGAGGAAAATGTGTTTAAACATCTGACAGAGTGTGGGCTGTAGCTCAGTGGTAGAATGCTTGCTTAGCATGCCCAGACCCTAGGTTTCATCCCCACACTGCAAAAATAACTGAATGATTAAAGACAGACACCTGGCAGACCCACTTTGCTGGAGCTCTGGGTGAAGGGAGCGTGACAGGTAGGGCGTGTTCTCTCCAAGCCCCTGCAGTGTTGGTGGAGCCCCAGGTTCCAGAGCTACAGCTCAGCTCTAACTGCTCTATGGTAGGAAGGGGTATTTTGACCCATTTAATGAAGGGAAGTGAAGGAGCCTGGTCCAGTGTCATAGTCAGTGTTGCTAGAACGTGCTCACCAGGAGGATCATAGCATGGTCCTCTTTGAGCTCCTTTGCAGCAAGCTCCCGTGCTGTGCTGAAATAGGGCAGCAGTCCAGCAGGAAGAGAACTTCCCTTCCCATGATGCTTAGTTTTTAGTTACCAATTTGCCACAACCTAGAGTCACCTGAGGGTCCTTGATTGAGAAATTGATCCAGATCAGGTTGGCCTGTGGGCATGCCTCTGGGGGATTGTCTGGATTGTTAATGGAGGAGAAAGTGGGTGGCACTGTTTCATGAGCTGAGCTCTTGACTGAGAGAGCAGAGAAAGCTGTCTGAGCACTAAGCGGCACCAAACACGCAATAGGGTGGCTGGCGTACCTGTTCTCTCTGCTCTTGACTGTGGATGTGAAACGACTCTGCTTGAGTGCTTGCTTTGACTTCCCTGAGGTGATAGCATCTGAAACCTGGAATTGGAAGCCAAATAAACTCCTCTTTCTTCCCCATGTTGCTTGGGGTTTTGTTTTGTTTACAGACAAGGTTTCTCTGTATAGTCCTGGCTGTCCTGGAACTTGACCTGTAGACCAGGCTGGGCTCGAACTCAGAGACCCGCCTGTCTCTGCCTCCTGAGTGCTGGGGTATTGTCACAGCAACAACAATGAAACAAGAGCCTTCCCGTACTAAGCAGGGTTCCTAAGGTAGACGCCTGAGTTGTGTATTTGGTCATGCACCAGCCCCGAGCCAGTCATTCAACTCCAGCATGCATACCTGGAGTCAGGCTTTCCATAAACTAAGGGGTTCGGTGGACCAGTGGTGGTTCCTGAAATCACATGAGCTCAGAGTGAAGGGTCGGGGTCTCCATGAAAGTCCAGCCCGTTAAGGAAAGAGGTATTTGTGATAATCAGGCTTTTTGCCTCAGTGTGCTTACTCCCTTTTCTGCCGTCCCTCCTGTAGTCCTTGGGTCTTTCCAGCGCAGCAGCCAGCATGTTTGGGAGTGACGGCAGTGAGCTGATCCTTCACTTTGTTACCCAGTGCAATGCTCGCCTCACCCAGCTACTGGAAGAGGAGCAGAAGCTGGTACAGCTGGGCCAGGCAGAGTAAGTTGCACGGCTTTATAGCTCAGGGTGGCAGCAAGGGATGGGCCACGTGCCCTCCCCGGGAAGCTGATACAAGAGGTGCCCAGAGAATAGTGCGAGCAGCCTGCAGCTTAGATGGGTCTGAAATGCAGCAGCCCGTGCTGACAGTTTTCCTCAGGAGCTGGTGGCACATTCCTCCTGGGGCTGAGTAGGCAGTGTGGTCCCTGCTTTTGAACTAGAGACACTCTGTTTTCTTTCCCTCTTCCAGGAAGAGGAAGACAGACCAGTTCCTGAGGGATGCCGTGGAGACCAGACTGAGAATGCTGATCCCCTACATCGAGCACTGGCCCCGGGTACAGAGTCCATCTTACAGAGCAACAGTAACAATATTCCATCCCCGCACTGTGCCTTGGAGGACTTAGCACACTGTTGAGAAGTTAGTTCATGGGTCTTTACCACAGGGCCAGGAAAGCCTAGTGCACTTGGCAGAGCTAGGTTCTTGCTAGGGAGTGCCATGGGGGAGTTCCAAGCCATCTGAGTCAAGTTCATGGACCTGTGAGTGGCCCTGCATACCAGTTCATATCACGGGTGGACCCAGCAGCCTGAGTGTACCACCAGGCCTTCAAGGAGGAGCAGTCTTCCTTGAGAAAGGTCAGGACAGTCAGAAGTTTGTATCAGCATCTTTACACAGTGAATGCCCTGTTGTGCTTCAGATCTTGAGGACTGGGCTTCTTCTTGTATTGCTAGGGTATTGCTTGCCAAAAGAGTATCCACTGCAAGGACTGCCTCCATTTTCTAAAGCTTCTTTTTCTCCTTTCTGAAGCCTGTCACGATGTGGCCCTTTTCTGAGTTAAAAAGCACATTAGCAATGAGGGTGATTAGGCACCCAGTGTCCTCTGTGCAGCTGGAATTCTTGAGTGTGTGGCCTTGGTGGACTAGCTGATGGACTTTGATTACCTGTAGCTCCTAAAGCGCGGGCAGTGCAGTGCTGGGTTTCAGCTGCCTGCCTGGTCAGCACAGTGCTGCCTTCTGGGCCACTTTGCAAGGGAATGCTTTCCAGCTAGAGAAGGACCTCTCTGCCAGCCCTGCGGCCAAGAGCATTATAGACTTGTAAAGTGTTAAGAGCTTGTTCAGTCAGGCCTGGAGAAGCTGGTATTTGCTAAAGGAGGCTCTCAGATTGGTTCTGACATAGTATTAACTGGGAGAAATTTGTTTTTGGGAACAGGAATCAACTTGAGTCAAACAAGGCAACAGAAATTTACTGTGACAGAGTGGAGTGCCCTTCCCATCCTTGTTTCCAGGACTTTTAGACAGGAGTGACCCCTTCAGCTGTCAGTATTCCCAATTTGAAATGTTGGCCTGGAGACTGATTAGGTCATCTTAGGACAAAACCATGTCCCCAGCCCCATTACCTTCAGTCAAGGTTTCTTGCTGCTACCTCCACCCATGATGGGTTTCAAAGAGCAAGAACTAGGCTGTCCCTGTGACAACCCCCCACCCCCCATGTGAGCCCTGTTTGTGCTGCTGTTACCTGCACACGGTACCTCCTCTGTCATTTGTTCTTCAGGCCCTCAGCATCCTCCTACTTCCTCACAACATCCCACCCAGCCTGAGCTTGCTCACCAGCATGGTGGATGACATGTGGCATTATGCTGGGGACCAGTCCACTGATGTGAGTATTTTCTGTAGGCCTGTAGCTTGCTAGCGAAGGCTTGGGTCAGGCATTTCTTGAAGTTTGTGAAGTTTCTTTGATAAAAAGTCTGGAAAGCCAGCAGTGTCATTCCCATCTCAGGAGGAAAGGTCTTGATGAGGCAGAGTGGCATGTGGGTCATTGTCATCCAAGGACCAGCATTTGAGCATGAACCAGTGACTATCCCTTCCACTTGTAGAGGTGGCACAGACCTTGGGGCCTTATGACAGGACTGCTCTATCATAACCATTTCCCCTCAGTCTCCTAAGACAGATTCTGCAGCAGATTCCTCCATGTCTGCCTTTGCTCAGACTAACTTTGAGACATTGCTTTAAAAAGAAATTCCTCCCCCATCTTGACCCATTTTGCTGGGAGATCAATAAGCCCCTTTAAGGAGGCACCAGGAAGAATATGACTTGTTAAGTGCTGCCATATTTCTGGTAGGATATTAATATATACACCTTCGTAAAGGAAATTAAAATGTGATCGTCTTGTGTGGTCTCCAGGATGGGAAGGTATGTAGACACATACATGCACCATATTTGTAACAAAGTGCTTTAATAAACTTTATCTGTGTGGGAATATACCACCAACAGAGATGGGAGGAAAACAAATTAGAGAGCAAAGAAATTAAAGGAATAAAACACCAAGTAGCTGAGCTGGTCCTCCGAAGAGCAATTACCGTGCTGGCAGAAGTCACCGGGGACTCAAAATCTCAGCTTCACCCAGATGTTATAACCTCTCCCTGATCCTGCGTCAGCTCTCCCCATGTGGTTTAGTCATGACTGTTGGATTGTCGAACCTCCCCAGGACTCAGAGGGTTGGGCATTTCACCAGTCAAATCACCTCGGCTGCTGTTTAAACCTCCTGGTTCCTAGTATTTAATTTAGACCTCTGACTCAACTTAAGAGGTTGGGACCAGGAGCTTACAGTTTTAATCTCATAGGCAGCTTTGATGTCCAGCCAAGTTGAGGGCAGTAGTGGTGTCCAGAGGGCCATATGTGTCAGTGAGAGAGGAGAGAAATGAGGAGGGAGCCTGGGAGTCCCTGAGGTCTTGAGTGGGAAAACCCAAGGCTCCTTTAACACACAGTGCAGTGATTCTGCAGCTGCTGGGTGGGTCTCTCTGCAGTTTAACTGGTACACGCGCCGTGCGGTGCTGGCTGGCATCTACAACACCACAGAGCTGGTCATGATGCAGGACTCCTCCCCGGACTTTGAAGATACTTGGCGTTTCCTGGAAAACCGGATTAATGATGCAATGAACATGGGCCACACAGCTAAGCAGGTAGTTGGGGACTGGCCGTTTGGAAACCCTTCCCAGTGGGCACACTTGTGTGCCTCAAGCCCCATGTGACCACCTAGCTGTTCTCTTGCCTCCTGTTGACCTTAGCTGACAGTCCCAAAGGCTTTCCCAAGGAGGCTGGCTGTTTCTTCCTCATGCTAGCCCTTCCTTAAAAGTCTGCTCTGTCTGTCTGTGACTGTTGTCCATAGGCTCTTTTCTGGTACATTAAACCATCTTGACTCCACCGTGGGGTTCATAGGCTTCCTGAATTGTCCTACCCATTTCACCTTTGAGCTCACTCTGGGGCCTTAACAGAATCTGACCCAGACTCCTCTTAGGTGAAGTCCACTGGAGAAGCCCTGGTGCAAGGACTGATGGGTGCGGCAGTCACGGTAAGTCCTGCCCAGTTCACCACTGTCTGCCTCCCAGTCCACTCTGGCCCTGTGCTATTTGTAACATGTCATCAACCCGAGTTGCTTTGGACTGCAAGCTGAATAAAGCTGATCTTGGTTTAGCCTCAGTATCTTATTCCCACCTCTTCTTCGCTGGCCTTAAGAAACAGCTGCTGGAGCTGGGGAGGAGGAGGGCAGTCCATCCCTGTGCTCCATCACTCATCACGTCTGCCCTGGGCCCCAGTGGGCTTGACTGACCCAGGGTTTCCCCCTGTGGTCTTGGAGGTTAGGCCAGCCTCACCACTCTCCGCTTCTATCCCTGTGTTAGCTCAAGAACCTGACAGGCCTAAACCAGCGCCGGTGAGAGAAAGGGGGACCCCACGTACCTGGAAGGAGCAGCAGTAAATACGAAGGACTTTGACAAGATGCACCACCCAGCAAACAGGATGTTAATGAGAACACATGAAGAACTGGGGTCACTCTGACAGCCGCGAGGCTGAATTGCAGTGCACTCTGTTCTGATCTGGAGTCGGGCCACTGCTGCCGTTCCTAAGACCAGGCCTGGCCTCCTGATGCCTTCTGCATTGCAGCTGTGTGATTGAAAAAGGAAACTGACGTCCAAGCTCAGGCACCTTGATCACGTCTTGACCTTAGAACTGCTCTCTGGGAGCTGGGCATGGTAACCTATATTCTCAGCACTCAGGAGTCTGCCACAGCGGGATTGAGAGTTCAAAGCCAGGCTTGTCTGTGTAGAGAATTACAAGCCTCTTGAGTTACATAGTGTGACCCTGTCTCAAACAAAATCTCCTGAGAAATACACTCAGGAGATCACAAGCAAGTGATCCCACAGTGACAGCTCTTCCCCAGCACAGGACAGTCCTCTGGGTCCTCAGAAAGCTGCCTCCCCTGAGACAGGTGCCTTCTGGACAGTCATGCTGAGCCTGGCCAGAAATGTGATCCCAGGCCTGGCCTCACAGACACCAGCATGCATTGCAGGGTCACTAGTGAGAGAATCTGTAAAAATAATAAACATGTTTGAAACAATTTCCTGTTGTACAGTTTCCATCTAGACAGTGTTGAGCAGTGGACAGTGTATGGAAGAGGCCTGGGTTCTGGGCGTGGCACTGCCTCATACCTCCAGCTCACGATGACATCTCTGCATTCTGGGCTCAGGTATCTTTCAGTCAGATGAGGATAGGAACACTTTCCCAGGCCATGAGCTCCCTTGTCTGCTCTTAGTCTCTTCCTGCCTGAGGGCTGTCCTCAGCTTCCATGTCCCCCAGCCTCTGCACTGGCTGGGCTTCCTTTGCACCATGGTTGGCCTGAGGGCTGTCCTCAGCTTCCATGTCCCCCAGCCTCTGCACTGGTTGGGCTTCCTTTGCACCATGGTTAGCCTGAGGGCTGTCCTCAGCTTCCATGTCCCCCAGCCTCTGCACTGGCTGGGCTTCCTTTGCACCATGGTTGGCACTGTCTTCTGCAGTACTCTCCTGTTTAAATCAGCTGATGGGGAAAATTGAGTTTCAGATCTTGTCGTGTGGGCTTTCTGTCAGGCTCTTTCTGTTCCTCCCTGATTCTTGTATGCCTCTTGACATCCCATAAAGTTACTGCTGCAGCTATTACACTTCATCCTTTGTAGCATCCCTCTCTCTCTCAGCAGACGAGCGTGACTCCTAATTCACTGGGATGGTGTGTGCTATGGAGCAGGCCCCCCTCTGTCGATGCCTTCGTCTGTCTCAGGAAGAAATGTCACTCCTTGTTACAGCAAACTCTTTATTCTCTGGTAACTTCTGCCCTCTGAGTGTAGTTCCTTCAGGGTTCTGTTTAAGGGCCTCTTTGTGTGAGCAGCTGCCACCTTTTTGAGGCCCGTTTAAACTCTTCAGGTGCGACTACACAGATCTGTAGACAGGGAGAGCATTGTATCTACTTCAGAAGTACATCGGGCAATCAAGAGTAGAAAAGGAATGTGTGTGTGTCCCTTAACACATAAGGGCATTGTGGAAGAACACTTTGGGGACCTTTGAGTTGGCTCAGTGGGGAAGAGCACTTGCAATCAGGCCTGCCATCCTAAGATCAGTCCCAGGGACCCACATGGTAGAAGGAGAGAATTGAGTCCCATGTTGTCCTTTGACTTCCACACATAGGATGTGTTGACACCATTATGTACATACACACACATAAAATACATGTGGTTTTTTTTTGTGTATGTGTATGTGTTACAGCCCTTGCTGAAGTTTTGTGTGTGTGTGTGTGTGTGTGTGTGTGTGTGTGTGTGTGTGTGTGTGGTTATCGCACTCCTGCTGAAGTTAGCTCGGGTGTGGGTCTTTCATTGCTTCTTTGTATATCATCTAACTGGCCGAGAACTTCCAGGGGCTTCTTCTGTCTCCACCTTCCAATGGAAAGGAACACTAAGATTACAGAGCTGCGTTGCCATGCCCTGCTTGACCTGAGTTCTGAGGATTTGAACTTGGTCCTTGGTCTCACACATAAATTCTTACACACTTGGGTTACTTTCCCCAGCCCTCTTGTTTATCTATAGATGTACAACCTCGTTCTTTTAGAAAGTTTCATTGTATTCCTATGTATTTTTAATTATTGTTACAATGTTTTTTATTTTTTAAATGGCAATATAACCACATCATTTCCCCTTTCTGTTGTTCAAATTTCTAATAGTCTTATAATAAAAAACCTAGAGGCACATATCAGGGTGAAAGCTGAAAGATCAGAGAAACAGAGCAGCCACAGCCACCACTTCTTACCTCACCAACTCCACAAATCCTCAGAAATCCTCTGAGTCTCCACCTGAAAGGGTCTCAGTTGAGCTGCTTTAGTTCCTGTTTCCTCACGCCTTACATACTTTTCTCCACCCTGCCATCTTACTTCCTGGGATTACAGGCATGTGTGCTTCCCAGTACTGGGATTAAAGATGTATGCAACCACTGCCTGGCTCCGTTTCCAGTGTGGCCTTGAACTCACAGAGATCCAGACAGATCTCTGCCTCCGAGTGATAGGATTAAGGGTGTGTGCCACCACTGTCTGGCCTCTATGTCTAATCTAGTGGCTGGCTCTGTCCTCTGATCCCCATCAAGTTTATTAGGGTACACAATATATCACCACACCTCTCCCTTTCTTCCCTCCCGTCCCTTCCGTACACCTCTCATATCCATGTCCTGTTTTTTGTTAATTGTTGTTATGCACATACACATTCCTAACACATGAACACAACCTGCTCAGTCCTTGTAACATTACCTGTGTTAATGTGATCTCGGGGCTTTTAACACTGTATTGGACAACCCATGGCAGGGCATTATTTCTCCCACTTTCAGCATCCCTGACTCTTTCTTAGAGTTGAGACCCCTCCCCCTTCCATGCTAACACGTCATTGGTGTCATTGTCCCTTTTGTTTAGGCAGTCGTGTTGGTGAGACTTCATGTGTGTGGCCTTTGTAACATTTCTAGGACACAATCTCACGGCAAACTTAACGATCCCCTGGATTACAAGCTCTCCATTCCCTCTCCCACAAAGACCTTAGGTGTTGAATTTGTTGTAGATGTATCAGTTGAGACTGGACACCCAACAATCTCTTGTTCTTTGCATTTTAATTGGTTGTGGGGTTTTTGTTGTTGTTTTGTTTTGTTTTTGTAATGGCCTCCATCTTTTGCAAAGAGAAGTTTCTTTGATGAGAAGTGAGAACTACAGTATCTTCACATGGTTCCTGTGAGAATCTTCAAAGCCTTGATCCTTCTTTCAGAAAGCAGCAGATGTCCCCTCAAATGAATGTGTCAAATTTCCATCTCTCTCTCACTTTAGTAAGTGAAGCCCTCACACACTGTCAAATGTTCCCTTGCTTCATATAGTTTCAGAGGCTTAGTTCATTATCATCACGGTGGGGAGATGGTGGCATGCATTGTGCTGTAGAAGTAGCTGAGAGCTTTACCTCCAGATCCAAGGACAGCAGGCAGAGAGTATTTTTTAAATTATGTATATGGGTCTTTTGCTTGCATGTATGTCTGTGTGCCATGTGCATACCTGGTACCCTCAGATGCCAGGAGAGGGCATGGGATCCCCAGAAATTGAAGTTAAAGATACTAGCTGCCATTCGGGTGCTGGGAATCCAATCCAAGTCTTATTATGGAAAAGCAGCTGGTGCTCTTAAGCATTGAGCCATCTCTCCCGTCCCATATGTATGTATGTTTAACCAAGTCTCCACCGGTCATTACCTAATGAGTTATTTTTAGCAATTACAAATAACACTGTCATGAATAACCCTGTACCTGTACTTTTGTGCTATATATCTTGGGGATTTCAAGAGCGTAAGGCCCGGTACATTTTGGAGAATGCGGTTAGAAAACATAGGCTCGGAAAGTTCTGGCCTCCGGTCAGCAGGTGGCGCTGCGCGCACGTCTAGCCGGAAGCGCTGGGGACCCAGCCGATAAATTGCTGGTGGCGACGCAGGCGCGCTGCGGACCTGGCGCGGGAGACTGGCTGCGGGTCGCGATGCCGTACGCCAACCAGCCAACGGTTCGGATCACGGAACTCACCGAAGAGAACGTCAAGTTCATTATCGAGAACACGGACCTGGCGTAAGGCGGCGAGGGGAGAGGCGGGCGGCCGGGTCCTCGGGTCCCCCTGCGGGGCTGTGGCTTCGGGGACGCTCACACGGCCTGGCTTTCCTCCTGTAGGGTGGCCAATTCCATCCGGAGGGTCTTCATCGCCGAGGTGCCCATAATAGGTATGCGACCCTCCCTCGGGCCCCCGCCGCCGGCCCTCCGCTCCAGGTGGGGGCATGGCTGAGAGCACTGCGGTGCTGCACGCTGGGCTGGGGCCGCCAAGGCCCGCCTTGGTGCGTGCCTTCCTCAGCGGCGTGGCTTCCAGCTCTGTTCCGTCTACCCAAAAACAACAGAAACTAGGACTAAACACTGTTGAACAGCTGAGAGCTGCGGCCTCCTCATCCGTAGGATGTAGACGGTAGGAGTCGTTAGCGGTGTTACCCGGCATTACCGAAGTCGTGTAGATGATGTGCCTTTGCTTTTAAGCCAGTGTTAGATACTAACTAGTAGGTGTCTTTTGAAAATGTATCTTAATTGTACAAAATAATGGGCTTCGTTGTGATATTTTCATGCACACACGCACACAGAGTACTTGGATTGTATTCATTACCCCTTCACTTCTTTTTATTCCCCTCCCACTGGCCTCTCCCGTCCTTGCTGATAGTACCCTGCTATAGTTTCTTGTCTCTTCTCCTTTAAAACATATTTATTTACGTGTATATATATGTATGTCCCTGGGCGTGAGGTGCTACAGTGCATGTGTGGAGGAGGTCAGAGACAGCTTATGGGAGGGATTATCTTCTACCATATGGGCCTCAGGGATTGAACTCGAGTCTTGACAAGTGCCTTTACTCTGCTGATCAATGCCCCGAACTCTTTTTTTTTTTTTTTTTTTTTAAGTACTTACTTGTTTATTATGTATACAGTGTTCTGTCAGCATGTATACCTGCATGCCATAAGAGGGCACCAGATCTCATGTGAGCTGGGAATTGGGTTGCTGGGAATTGAACTCAGGACCTCTGGAAGAACAGCCAATGTTCTTAACCTCTGAGCCATCTCTCCAACCCCGAACTCTCCCTTCTTTTTTTTTTTTTTTTTTGGTTTTTCGAGACAGGGTTTCTCTGTGTAGCTTTGCGCCTCTCCTGGAACTCACTTGGTAGCCCAGGCTGGCCTCGAACTCACAGAGATCCGCCTGGCTCTGCCTCCCGAGTGCTGGGATTAAAGGCGTGCGCCACCACCGCCCGGCTATCCCTTCTGAAAAGTTGAAATTCCACATGAGAGAAAGCATGCTTGCTCTGTGGCTTCCTCCTGCAAATTACATACTTTTGTTCTTTATCATTGTGTGTGTAATATCACTTTTTGTTGTTGTTGTTTTGTTTTTTTCAAGAGGGTTTTTCTGTGTAGCCTTGACTGTCCTGGAACTCACTCTGTAGACAAGGCTGGCCTCGAACTCACAGAGATCCGTCTGCCTCTGCCTCCCAAGTGCTGGGATTTAAAGGCGTGCACCACCACTCTTTATCCATTCTGGTAGGTGTCTTTTTTTAATGGATCTCGTACTTCTACTGCATGTGTAGATCATGTAAGTTCCAAGCTAGATGTAAAGACAAGACATGGACATACACAAGGCAAAATATGACAGGTGTCTTCAGGGGGATCTGAATGGGTTTTGGGGTTTTTTTGTTTGTTTTTGAGATAGGGAGGAGCTCAAAAGGAGGGAGTGGCAGCATCTGTACACACACAAGGTCTTTAGAGGCTGGGAGTTTTCACCTGCCAGGGTGTGGGAGGATGGGGATGATGGGAGATAGGGCATGGGGAAGCTTGATGTGGCCCTTGCTTGGGTTGAGGAAGTACTGCAGGGCAGGGCAGGTTAGGCCTATCATTGTCTGGTCCTCTGACCTCTTTTCCTTTGTCCATACCGGTTACTTGAGAATTGGGATCCAACACCGCTTGATTTCTGAATTTCATTGTTTATATGCAGATGTTTGCTTCTGAATGACTAGGTACATGTGTAAGTGAAGCCTCAATAAGCACACAGTCCTATACTCCCAGCAGTGAATGGGAGGGATTGGATTTTATTGTTAATGTACTTTCTCTGTGGAAGACATTCAGTGTCGATCCACTAGTGGGAGTAAACTGAAATTCTAAAGGGGTGATCTGGTTTTATCCTACAATGAGGTGTGGACCATGAGCCACATTAGTTCTATGATCTTTTCCCTAAAAATTTTTAATTATGTCTCTGTATGTGGGTATTTGCATAGGAGGCCCGGGGTCTCAGATCCCCCTGGAGCTGGAGTTAGAAGCAGTTGTGAACCACCTGACATGGGTGCTGGGAACCTCTTAACCACTGAGCCATCCCTCCAACCCATGTTTCCCCAAACTTTTAAGTGCCCAAAATAGCTTTTGTTCTTGGATTTGATAATAACACGGATAGCAGATTTAAAGTGCTCTTTAGGAAATATTCAACTCCCTAAATATTCCACTCCCACAATATTCTCTAAGTGAGTGTTTCTTTGTGTGGTCCCAGCAAGCCCTATACCCAATTCACTGGAGGCAGGAAGGTGTTAGGTATGGTGTGTGTGTGGTTTAAATTAGATGCCTGAACCTCTAGCTATCAGAGTCAGAGTCTCTGGCAACCTGGCCTGGGCACCTTCAACTTTATAAACACTGAGTGATTATTTTCTTTCCTTTTATTTTGGTGTTTTTGAGACAGGGTTTCTCTGTGTAGCCCTGGCTGTCCTGGAACTCGCTCTGTAGACTAGGCTGGCCTCAAACTCACAGAGATCTGCCTGCTTCTGCCTTCTGAGTGCTGAGCACTGAGTAATACTTAAGTCTTGAAAACAGCACTGTATGTAGGTCTGGAGATGTCTGAGGTCTCAGATGGTGGTTAGTGTCACCTGAGCTGTTCTCTTGCCTTTTTCAGCCATCGACTGGGTTCAGATTGATGCCAATTCCTCAGTCCTTCATGATGAATTCATTGCTCACAGGCTTGGTGAGTTTGGGCATTGAGAAGTGGAAGGGATTAGAGTGGGGTGCATCCTGTCCCCAGCCCGAGGGACTTACTTGTAGGATCTTGTGATGGCTTGGCTGCTCTGCAAAGCACTTTTCTGTGTCTTGCAGGATTGATCCCCCTCACTAGTGATGACATTGTGGACAAGCTGCAGTACTCCCGGGTATGTGTGTTGCTGGGTAGACTGGAGGCACAGGAGGTGGGGTGGGGGTGGCGCCTAGTTGTCCCAGGAATCTTCTGGGTGCCTTCCTCTGGCTGACCGTAGCATAGTTTAGAAACCATTGTGGAAATGATGTTTTAATACTGTGGTCCTTGGTTCTGATGGGGCTTCAGAATGTTTGTGCTCTCGGCACATCCAAGCACCTCAGTGAGCCTTACAAAAGGGGACACACACCCCCAATGCCCATAATTCTTTTTTTAAAGATAGTTTTTTACTTTTGTGTGTGTATATTTCTGCTTCTATGTATGTATGTGCAGGTGGGTTAGGGTGCTGGAAAAGGTCAAAAGAGGCCATCAGAGCCCCTAGAGCTAGAGTTACAGGCAGTTGTGAGCTGCTGGGTATGTATCCTGGGAACTGAACTCAGGTCCTCTGCAAGAACAGCAAGTGCTCTTAACAGCTGGGTCATCTTTCCAGCCCCACCATGCTGCTGCCGCGCCCCCCCCCCCCCAATTTATTACTTTTTATGACAGGGTCTCACTATGTCGTCCTGGCTGGCCTTGAACTCCCAGAGATCTGCCTGCTTTGCCTCCTGAGTGCTGGGATTAAAGGCGTGTGCTACCATGCCTGGCTGAGAAACATTAATGAACACTCATTTGTTTTTTGTTTTTTGTTTTTTTTTCTCTACAGTTACCAAATGCTAATGTTTTACTACTCTTGCCTTATTTTTTTATATAGTGTTGTTTCCCCTAACTTGAAAAGATGTTTTTCTGTTCTTCCCTTGCTTGTTGTATTTTCAGTAATTCCTAAGCTGGTCCGCATAGTGCAGGGCAGGTAGAACTATGGTCCCATGACAACTTTGGTCCTCTGAGGCAGTCAGTCCTGTTTGGACACTGCTGTATTAGCAGTGTGCCCCCTAGTGGTAGCCTGCAGCAGTGAACGTGGAAAGGAAGTGTAGTTGCCAGCGGGTAGACAAGTTGTCTATAAGCTTGAGCAACCATGAGGATGGTGTACCAGATGCCACAGCCCAGAAGAGGCCTGGGACTGTGGTCAGCCCCTCTTCACCAGGAAGAAACTGAAGGAGCTGGTTAGTAGAAGCAGGGAGTCCAGTCTACTCTTTCCTACTGCCCTTCCTGCCTCAGGACTGCACATGCGAGGAGTTCTGCCCTGAGTGTTCTGTGGAGTTCACTCTTGACGTGAGGTGCAATGAAGACCAGACTCGCCATGTTACCTCTCGGGATCTCATCTCCAACAGCCCCCGGGTTATTCCGGTCAGTGCTTTTGCTCTTCTCTGTCTGGCTCCACGTGGGACGGGTTGGGGTGATCCTTATGAGATGTGGTCCTAAAGTCACCCGCCCTATGTCCATCTGCTTTAAACTGCCACCTAGAAGTGCTGGTCCTGAGTTCTTGAACAGAGCAGGATTGGTGCTGTGTGCCCTGTGTTGTCCAAAGACCCTCTTAAAAGCCATTGGACTGTTTGGACAACTCTGCTGCCTCCTTCTCAGGCCTCCTTTCCCTGGCTTGACAGATTACAGACTGGATTTTCTGGGAGACAGTTGCCAGAGGGGACTGAGGTGAGAGGCTAACGCACACTTGTTTGGGCTTCCCACAGGTGACATCCCGGAACCGGGATAACGACCCCAATGACTATGTGGAGCAGGACGGTAAGGGGTGGGGCAGGGTGGTAAGGGGGTGGGGCACACATGCTAGTGGCCAGAGGATGCAGAGACCAGATGTAGCGTCTTGAGCTGCCTGGTCTCTGTCGCTGATCTTTAGACCCTTTTGTGGGTTGTCTTCATGCGGTCCTGGGGTCAGAAGCTAGAGAAGTGGCCTCTCTTGGTTCCTGGCTCTCACTCTCACCTCTCCCTGCAGACATCCTTATTGTCAAGCTGAGAAAGGGCCAAGAGCTGAGACTGCGAGCCTATGCCAAGAAGGGCTTTGGCAAGGAACATGCCAAGTGGAACCCCACTGCAGGGGTGGCTTTTGAATATGATCCAGACAACGCGCTTAGGCACACGGTGTATCCCAAGCCTGAGGAATGGTATGTGCTGGCAGGGAGCGGGGACTAGCAATGGCCGTAGTGAGAGATGGGGTGGTAGGTGCTCCGAGAGCCTTGCTAAAGGCAGAAGTAGCCACTTGTGCTTCCCCCGTGCTTGCCCTCAGGCCAAAGAGTGAGTACTCCGAGCTGGACGAGGATGAGTCACAGGCTCCCTATGACCCCAATGGCAAGCCAGAGAGGTAAGACCCCGGTCCTGCTGGGGACTGTAATTGTAAGAATATAGGTGGGGGAGGCTGTTAGGCAGTCACCTAGCCAAGCCCCCTCCGCCGCTCCCCCCCCCCCCCCCCCCCCCCCCCGTGTGACAGGAGAGCTAACTGTCTAACTTACGTACACATTCTGAGTTGGTCTTCATCCCCTCTGGTCACCATGAAGAGAGGCCTTATTTTATCCCATGTTGTCTCTGGCCTGCCTGTGGAGGCTCAGGCCAGAGCAGAACTGACCGGAGCCCTCCCCTGAAGAACTATCCTGTGTTGTGTATGAGTTTTGTTCTTCCCTTATGTCTCCAATGTAGAAATGCACATATACAGTCATTGTAGAGTTCTCAACAAGGCCGCCCCCCACCTTTTTTTTGTTTTGGTTTTTCAAGACAGGGTTTCTCTGTAGACCCGGCTCACCTCGAACTCACAGAGATATGCCTGCCTCTGCCTCCCAAGTGCTAGGATTAAAGGCGTGTACCACCACCACCCAGCTCAACAGTGCCCTTTTGAAGTAGCTGTAGCTTCCTTGAGGAGCTGCAAAGTGGATCTGGACCACTCTGCATAGGAGGTTTTAGGTAAAGGGAAGTCAGCCCTGTCCCAAGATCAAGTGCCTTGTAGGAATGAAGGAAGTCTCACAGGGTAGAAGGGAAGCCTGCCTTATGAGGCTCTCACCCTACTCTCGTCTCTCTCTCTCAGGTTTTACTACAATGTGGAGTCCTGTGGCTCACTGCGCCCTGAAACCATCGTCCTCTCAGCCCTCTCTGGGTTAAAGAAGAAGCTGAGTGACTTACAGACTCAGTTAAGCCATGAGATCCAGAGTGACGTGCTCACCATAAACTAGCCGCAGCTTGTCTGCTGAAGACGACTAGGTTCAAGGTGCCCACTGGACTTCAGGTCTTGGGACCCCTTCTGGTTTCAGGGCTGTGGACTGCAGTTTGCTCAAGCTGCCTGGAAAGTCATCAGAGTCAGGGCTTCCACTGGTATTAGGCAGGGCAGTTTCTTAGGAGGCATTTAGCATCCTGGCTCTACCTTCCTGATCACGGTGGCAGTCCTCAGAACCCTAGGCATCCCTTCCATCCTGTTTCTTAGCTCACTGGTAGGGGGCGCTATTACTTCCTAGTTGTGAGCAGTGGCCTAGACATCTGGTCACTCCAGCTTTTTAAATCTTTACCCAAGGAAAGGAGTTTTCCAGCCCTACCTTAGGCGTCTGGTGTTGGGACTGAGTATTCGGACCTTCATTGAAGCAGCCTGTGACCTTTCAGGTCCTCTTCCCAGGGTCCGCTTATTGGCACTTGAAGTTTCAGGTGTCCCTAAGCTGAGAAGTCACCCTTTGGGACTGGTATTAGACCCTGGCTATCCTCTCTGTCCACAGGTGAACTTGGTGTTTCATACTCTGGCCTGACATTTGGGGGTTGGGTACCACAGACCCCTCCCACATTTCCTTTCTCATTAGTGAAGTTCAAGCCCTGCCTTAGCATGTCTCCAGGTAGGAACAGACCCCCCATAGTGGTTTTCAGGCAGCCTGGGGAAGAGCACGCACCAGCACAGAAAGGAAGGGATATTTATTGATCAACAGTAGATGTCTTTTTACAAGTTTTTATTTTTGGCAATAAAGAGCACAACATAATCTCCTTCATGCGTCATCGTGCTGCTGGCTCAGCCAGCCCTTTCCCTCCTGAGGAGCTGGGCCCATTCCTTCTACAGACTAGCTGACCGCTGGGTGGGCATGGCCTGGGTCATCGGAGCTGGACTGGCCATGCCATCTCCCTGGCTCTAGGGCACCTCTGGGAGGGGGCCTCCTTATCATCCTGCCACAAATGTGAACAGTGGTTATTTACAAGTTCTGTTCCCACAAATCAGAACCCTAAAGTATTAAAAAAAACAGAAACACACAACCAAAGGTTTGATGTGAATAGAAAGATAGCCCTTCTGCACGGTAGTCAATAAATACCAGCACTAGAAAATCAATTGCTTTAATTGCATTTCAGCAGGGAGCTCAGCACCTTGTGGGGAGATGGGAAGGTCTTGGTTTTGGAATCTGGCCTGGGGTGGCTGGCCCAGGGCAAGGGACTCCCCTTGCTGGAGCACTATACCCCCGCTCAGTAAAAGGGGGCAGCAAGGTGCTCCCCACAGTAGTCCTGCTGCAGCCTTCTGGGCTGGCCCTAGCCATCCTCTACTGCTGAGGTGCTGGGCGCCCCGCCTGAAGACATCTTCAGCCTACTAAGCAGGAAGGAGCCAGTGCAGAAAGTGCATTTTAAAACCAGATGCCACCTCTGCTTAAAACTCCTAAGTGCAAGGCTACCACATGGTACAGCAAAGTTTGGGCCCTTCCTGTGTCACTGTTGGCCCAGAGGACAGAAGCTACCTGCTATCTTGGCCCTTAGGCTTCTGAGGAAGAGCCCACAGACAGCACCGGTCTGATTGTCCCCTACTCTGACCCTGGCAGCTCAAACAGTCTTGGCAGCAAGAGAGCTGTATCACTGAGGACAGGAATGGCTGCCCTCATACTCAGACAGCCTTGACCATGCCTGGTCATGGAATTAGAAATGGGTATGTGTTGGGGAGGGATAAAGGGAAGCCTCATTAATACAGAATATGTCATAAGCCATATATATTAAAACCATTAACAGTATATAGTCCCACGGTGGCTCCAGCCCCTCATGCTCAGGTGGTGTGGCCAGCCATGTGCTGAGGTCCAGCCTCACCCTTGAGGGCAAGGAGGGACAGCTTGCTCTCTTCAGGCTCTTGGCCAACAGCTCCTTAAGGCTGTCCATGGGCTGCTGCAGTTAGCCTTCCCCAGGTGGCCCAGCAGTCATCAGCACCCACCAGTCCAGCTGTCACTGGGAAGGGCTCTTGGTCTCACTGCTGTCCTCTTGGCTGGCCTGTGGCTTAAGCAGGATGAATCTGTTCAGGAGGTCTGTTTCTGAGCTGGCCTGGGCTGCCCCATACCCTTCACCTGTGGTCAGAGATGCAGGCGCAGAATTTGAATCCAGGACCAAAGACCCGTGCCCAGGAGGCCTCCACAGGGACAGGACACAATGACTCACCATAGCTGGAGGCTTCAGCAATGTTCTGAGAACCTGTGATGTGGTGCCAGTACGCGCTGCGGGGCAGCATGGTGGTGGGTGTGCAGGGATATGAGTAGTGTTCGGTGCCCTTGTTCAGCAGCTGTGGCACAGAGAAGGGTCCCGTGTGTTAGTTCTGGGGACACTGCTGCCAGCCCAAGGCCCTGCCTGACTCACCTGTGGACACGCTGGTGGAAACCTAGCTGGCACGTGCCCCACCTCCCATGCCCTGGAGCAACAGCCACTGCCTCACCCTCACGTTCTTCTCCATTTCCAGCAGGACCCGCTTGTGCTGCTCCGCGATTGCCAGGGTGGCACTGTGAACCCGCTGGTAAATCTGCTCCCCCTCCTGTGTCTGGAAGGTGTAGAGTCCTTCCCCAGCATCACACATTCTAAGGGCACAGGTAGCAAGGAGGGCAAGGTGTCAGGAATTCCACCGCGTGGGTGTGCGAGTTCTGTGTGCCAGCTGTGGCTGTACCGAGGCCTCCGGGGACAGGGTAGCCGCCACATACCCCGTGGAGGTAAATGAGCCCTACTCAACTGTTCTGCCGCCCTCTGGTCTGCGCACTGAACAGTCTCCGCACACGTTTTACAGAAGAGGAAACAAGCATCCAGTGTGAGAGTAGCCATGCCAAGGTTAAGCAGGGTGGTTAAACAGAGCTGAAGTCTAAGGCTGGCTGAGTCCCGGCAAGGGCCTTCCCTATCAGGCTCAGTGCTTTTTTTTTTTTTTTTTTTTTTGGTTTTTCGAGACAGGGTTTCTCTGTGTAGCTTTGCGCCTTTCCTGGAACTCACTTGGTAGCCCAGGCTGGCCTCGAACTCACAGAGATCCGCCTGGCTCTGCCTCCCAAGTGCTGGGATTAAAGGCGTGCACCACCACCACCCGGCGGCTCAGTGCTTTTTTAATCCTCTATAGGAAACTGGTGCTAAAGCCAGAATCCCAAAGCTAGAAAGTGCTGCTGGCGGCAGTGGCCGAGCCAGGGAGCTGTGCTTTCGGTATACGGCTTCACTGGACCTGCAAGCTAATTACTTCAGGCCTTGAGTTCCTCGTCTGTAAAACTGAAGCATTATATCCCCTCTGGGCAATATGCCTGATGCCGTGCAGAGAGCAGTCTCCACGGTGGCCAGAAAGGGTATTACCTGCCCGCCTCAAAGGTAAAACGGGTGGCATCCCGGCCGTAACGGCGCAAGGAGCAGAGGGGCCACGAGACGAGCTTCACGCGGGGGTTGTGTATGTCCCAGAGGTAGATGTTCTCGTGGGTGATCTGCAGCTTGCACTCGCCATATACGTCCAGGTTGGGGCAGGGCAACAGGAAGACATTGAAGCGATCTGCAGAGCAGAGGATAATGATAGCAGAGCTAACTAAGGGCCCCACCTTTCCCCTCCCCACCTTGAGACCCAGCACCAGCCTTACCTGTCTGCTCGCACTGTACTCCTGGGGCCAGGAGGTCGGGCTCTCCCAGACTGATGTCGTTGAGCCGTGACCCCAGACATTCCACTGACAGTGTCTTGTACCACTCTTCTGCCTCCAGCTCTGGAGAGAAATCACACTTCATAGTTCCACCAGCTCAGAGTCCCCAGCAGCCCACCCATACTCCTTGGCTTGAGTCATTGCACTCTGCAGGGAGGGCAAGGCCTGCCGGCCCACCTCAGTCTGGGGACCTAATCCACCGGGGCACACCTCCCACCCTTCCTGCCAGGGTTGGCCCTGCTCTCCTACCCCACTGCCTGGACCACTGACTGTTACCAGCCCATGAAGACCAGCTGGAGCCTGCAGCCCCGAGGTCTCACCTGAGTCACAGGTGAAGGTGCGAGCCGAGTCGTCCGTGAATATGATAGCCACCGCCTGCCTCTTGGTTTCCTTGGGGAGCCGTGTGACACACTTGACGTTGCTGATCTCAGTCACCTGGGAGGACACCCCAAGAGGCTTAGCCCGGCTGGGGCACTTCACCCCACCTCCCGTAGTTACGCCCCCCAGGAAGGTACTCTCAGACCTCAGGACTCAGCAAGTCATCTTTGCTCACAGGTGGGGGGAGCTAGGGCCCAGGCCCCTAACCTTGGGGCAGCCTCGGAGGCACACTGACTTCTCATCAGGATACTTCTCCAGCCGCTGGGGCCCCTTGCTGGACGATTTCCGGAACACCAGCCAGCACCTCCGGTAGATCTGTGGGTCAAGAACAGAGGTCAGGTTGCTGCTGGACCATGATCCCCAACAATGCTGCCCTGAAGCTACCCCAGCCTCCTGAGGGAGCAGTGCCACACCCTTCCCTGGATCCCAGCCTAGAGAAAACCTGGGGATGGTAACTGCCCGAGAGCAGCCACCACCCCAAATGGCCGAGGTGGTGTTCACGATCAGCTCTGTTGAGTTCTGTGATCCTCCGTGTGCTGAACGTGACTAGTGTAATGGAAGGAGCATTTGTGGAATGCTTCCTAGCCAGTCAGTGTCGGGGTCACTCCTGAGGCCTGTTCTATGAGGCCTGTTCTCCATTTCAGAGACAAGTGGGTCATGAAGAAGGCAAGAAGGAAGGACCTAACACAAGTGGTGGAGTTCCTATCAAGATGGAATGCCAGGGACACACCCATTACCACAGGACAGACCGCTCTGGCCACCAACGCCACGGTCTCCCAGGGACAGGAAGCGGCCCCCTGCACTCAGCCAGCTTTGCATCACCATGGCCCTGGGTTGGGGCCCAGGCAAGGCTCTGGTGTGAGGGGCATTCCTCTTGCCCCCAGGGCTGTCCCTCACCACTTACCAACAGTGTACCACGGGGGGTTCCCATGGGGACCAGAGGCCTAGAGGGTAAGGGGACAGAGCTTAGAACTAGCTGTGCCCACACAGCGCAGTACCTTCCCTGGGCAGTCTCTTGCCTGTCCTAACCAGTAATGCCCTGTGGGCTAGGCCACTGAGAGTCTCCAGAGCTTCATAAACTCCTAAGGAGGGAACTTCTCCAGAGACAAGCTGGCCTAGAGACCCCATGAAAGGCTGTCCCAGCACCTCCATCGACTGCCCATCTGAACTCTTCTTGCAGGGCCCTCTCTCCTACCGCAGGCTCTCTTCAGCCAGTGGGTGATGGATTGACCAGCTCCTGCCAGCAGGCGTCAAGCCTGGCAGGCCTGTTCCCCAGACATCCCTCTGCCACTGTCATTGCAAATAAGAGGCTCCTGAAGGGGCCTGGGCTGAGCAGAGGAGGGGAGGAGGCCACTGGGCCACAGTCCCAAGAGCTGGCCGCCAGCTCAGCTACCTCCTCTGCCATAGGTACACCAGGCCTTTGGCAGGCAGGTCACAGAGCAAAATGGACCTAGACAGCCCCTCTCCCTGGAACTGCCTAAAGCTGGGCCACTTCAGGCTCCTGTCTGGACCCCTGGGAAGTGTGTCTGCCTCTGCACCCGTCCCTAGCTCAGCCCTGGTCTGTTCACGTGAGCCTTTTCAAAGCAGAGACCACGTATGCCATATTCACACACTCCGTGCTTATACCTGCGTGAAATTATTGACAGATCTGCCGAGCAGGTGAGTGGCCATGTGAAGGACAGGGTGGACAGGAAGATGGACAGACGGGTGAATGGATAG